ATTACAAGCATTACAAGCATTACAAGCATTACAAGCATTACAAGCATTACAAGCATTACAAGCATTACAAGCATTACAATCACTACAAGTATAACAAGAATTACACTTATGCACACCAGGTTTCTACGCGGGGCAGTTTGATGCAGGATTGCGTAGTGGGTATGGAGTGAAAATAGAAAACCCCACTGATCAACAGAAGTTTGTCTTTTCTGCTTTATTGGTGAGGGAAATAATGTTATCACTTAATTCATTGGAGAACATTTTCTTAATATGTTTATACATATTATTACATTAGGTACCTTGATAAATTTAAAAATCAAAAAATAAAACAAAATGTATCAACAATTGTATATTTCAGTAATTTTTTAAATCTTTGGTTTTGATAATTATAGGTTCTGCCCTTTTTTATAAATATAAGCTAGCAAGGGATTTTAAGGCTTTGGGCTGGGTAGACAGTAAAAAAAGGTAAATAAATTTTAAGCTAACAGTAACATTTAAACTCTGAAATAGACAGAAGACGGGTTAAATCCTGAAACGGGAGGAACGGAAATAAAACAAATTCGTAATCCTCTTATGTCGGCATTGGATGTTATCAGTTCTTTGGATATAGAGTTATCCAGTGACATATTCGAGAAGGTAAATTAATATTTATATTTGTGCTGAAATATATTACTTATTCAACAAATAACCACAAAAACGATTTGAGATTGGAACTGATAATTTAGTTTTCAGCAAAATTTCGTGCGAGTTTATGTTAGAAATTATAAAAAACTAAAAAACAAGAACCAGTGATTTTTATACTCCGTTATAAGGCAACCGTATTATACATGGGACAATGGAAAGATGATGCGAGGTATGGATTTGGAATAGAGAAAACCTCTCGAGGACAAACTTTCAGGGGGACATTCAAGGTAAGTTTTAGGATTTGTAACCTATCACGGATGATAACATTGTACATTGGATGATCACGTGACTAAGTTTAGCACGTGTGCTCTAAGTTAAAAGCACGTGTGACTGAGTTTATCACGTGACTAAGTTTAGCACGTGTGACTAAGTTTATCACGTGTGCTCTAGGTTTATCACGTGTGCGTGTGCTCTATATAGCTCTGACGGATAATTCAACACCATGACCTTCTACTTAGATTTCGACATCAAGTAATAAAAATGTTGATGATGGATTCATACATTCCTAACCCCCATTCAATAGAACGAATATTTGCAATATCTCATACTCGTACTACGTAACCAGGACAACAAGAAGCACGGACAGGGAGTACTGATAGACCTGAACGGTCTGGAGCATTGTGGTAAATGGAGTAAGAACGTTTGTAAAGTCAACAAGAGAATCCTCACCAGTACAGTACGTTTTACATTTCTGATAATTCTAATGTATCAAATACTGTAAAACTATTGTACAGTATACATTACACACTAAAATAACTTTAAAATATATGTACTAATTCGCGTACTCATGTGAACATTTGGTAGTGCTTTATCTTATTCTATTGTAAAATTCTGCCGGGCAGAATGTGTCAACATTATTTTTACTGCAGTAAAAGTTACATGTCTGCGTTTGTCACAGGCACAGAGGTCAGCAGTGGCGGGGGAGGAAGCAGCGAAACTAGCAAAAGAGAAAGCAGTGCTGTCACGGGGTCGTGCTATTGGAGCTAGAAAGTAAGGGCTGTTTTTGTATCTTACTTAAGGGGAGGGGGATTTTTTGTGTCTTACCTAAGTACCGAAGGGGGGAGGGGAGTGTTTACTTGATTCAGATTTCAGAGTTCCCACTGCGAAGAAAACGATTGTTGTCAATAACTGGGTTACACTATTTATAAGTGTTTCCTGAAACTATTCAGCTTATTGTGATTGCACTTTGTTACAGGTGTGCACTTGAAGCAACTGATTCGGAAGCCCGGGCCAACGAACAGTTTATAATCGCTGAACAAAGGAGAGCAGGTTGGTTTTCTTCTATACGAAACTTTTTTTTGGGATATTGATAATTGACAAAGTATAACGTATTAAGTTCAAATTCACATTATTCACTTATCAGCATATTTACTTAACTTATTAGCATATTGTTGTAACTTTATTCATCAGAGACGTTGAACCAGATCAGGCTGGGTAACATTGCAATCAACGTGGTAGCTACAATAGATACGGATCTGAAACCGCCCAGTCCCGGTACCACTCTTCAGATTAACCTCGCTAAGCAGGCTATAAACCTTCGCTCTAAGTACGTGCAAAATATTATCCATCTTTCTGAACATTTATTTCAAAAAATATTACAAAGGGGACCATGGTCGCATGGTAAAAAGTCTGCTAAACTAAATTTATTCTACCATAAATATTTTACCCTAAATATACTATAACCTTGTTTGACAAATTATATACGGTGCCTTGGTTACGGTACCTTGGTTACGGTACCTTGGTTACGGTACCTAGGTTACTGTACCTAGGTTACGGTACCTAGGTTACGGTACCTTGGTTACGGTACCTTGGTTACGGTACCTTGGTTACAGTACTTTGGTTACGGTACTTTGGTTACGGTACCTTGGTTACGGCACCTTGGTAACGGTACCTTGGTTACGGTACTTTGGTTACGGTACTTTGGTTACTGTACCTTGGTTACGGTACCTTGGTTACGGTACCTTGGTTACGGTACCTTGGTTACGGTTCCTTGGTCACGGTACCTTGGTTACGGTACCTTGGTTACGGTACCTTGGTTACGGTACCTTGGTTACTGTACCTTGGTTACGGTACCTTGGTTACGGTACCTTGGTTACGGTACCTTGGTTACGGTACCTTGGTTACGGTACCTTGGTTACAGTACCTTGGTTACGGTATCTAACCCCTGGTTTACTGCAGGATATCCGACATGGTCAAGTCACCCAAGATGAACAGGATCATGTCAGTTACAGGAAGTTCTGGGTTAGAATCGGTAAGTAATTAGTCAATTAGTAGTACTATTAGTGATTTAGTAGATTACTAATAGTATTATTAGTAATTTAGTAGATTACTAATAGTATTATTAGTAATTTAGTAGATTACCGTTGTATTTATGAGGTTTTTTCTTAAGAACCTGCTTGTATGCATTTTCAAATGAAGACTTATCAATTATTTTGTCACAGCCTAATAGCAGTGAACAAAGCTCACCGAAGACAAAGACCAGTAAACTTAACAGACCTTCACGGACTGAACAAAATCAGATAACAACACGAGATGTGACGTCACAACACGAGATGTGACGTCACATGCTACGTATCGTTATTATGGTCACGCGACCTGAAATTGGACAGTTTAAAATTTAAATTGATGACGATGTTCTATGATTTGATTCTAGTATTTGTTTGTTTTGTTATATTTTAATTTATAGCTTTAGAATTGGTAAGATTTATTTTCCATTATTTGACTTTAAGTTTTAGTAATAATAATGAAAAGGGTTTCCAGTGAGCCTCTATCAGTTAAAATTGGTACACAGTAGTTGGACAAAAGGGATGAAAATGTTTTAAATGATTCAGAGACAAATAATGAATTTTCGAACAAATCACTAATTCTAAATTTTTATATTGATAGTTTCATACGAATGTAAAAAATGAAAAATGCTCATGATAATGAGATTTTTGAAAACCACATTAAAAAAGTACAAGGTATTGTAGTATAGAATCAACACCTTCATTGATGAAAAAATAGCTCAAATATTTTCTTTTGATAGAAATTGTACCGCCAATTGGACAATGCTTTATTCTTTTATTGGTGTTCTATCATAAAACGATAAAAGGAAACTAATGAATAGAATCATCCAATATTTTGAAATGTAATAAATTTCCAAAGGCACATGCTTTCTAGCAAGCTTTTATGATTATAAAATTATTTTAATCTTAATGAATTCCTCGACAGTATTATAATATACCTGGTAAACGTGACTGATTTTATGGTGGTTATATTATCACCACAGACAACAACAACACTACACTAGATGAAAGATCATTCAAGCTTCCTGATTATTGCACCGTTTATCAAACTGAACTCACTGCCATCATCGAAGCTTGTAAATATCTATCAACTTACACAAACACACATATCATCATATGGTCAGACAGTCTCTCCTCTATTCAAGCTATATCCTCACCTTCAACGAGGAGTAGAACCACTAGAGACTGCTACGACACCCTCAATACACTCGGATCCACTAACACCTTAGAGATCAGATGGATAGCAGCACACATCGGATTGTGGGGTAATGAAAAAGCAGACGAGCTGGCCAAAAATGGCACAACCAGTGAATCCACTTTGAATTGCCCAATTCCACAATCTTACATCAAACGCCTGATCAACGACAAAGTCACAAAACTTAATCAAGAATCATGGATTACTAATGGTCCCAGACACACTAAACTGACACTTGGACATAAAAACATCAACATCATCAAAAATCTCAACACTACACTCAGCAACAACAGACAAAATTACAGAACTGCAGTGCACCTCATCACGGGACATTGTGGCCTCAACAAACACCTACACACCATCCACAAATCAGACACAAGTGCTTGTCCAAAATGCGGCGACGGAGAGGAGACTGTCTCACACTTTCTCGGACAGTGCCCGGCTATTGCCCAAATAAGAGGTCAATATTTCCGGGACTACTACCTCTCTGTCAATGACATATTCGACAACCAACACATCTCCACCATTGTCAACTTTACAAACCACACTAAACGCTTAGTGGTGCCGGAGGAGTTGGACCAGACAGGTGTAACATAGCGACTACTTTAACGCCGTCTTGTTTCGCCCCTCTCTTCCACACTCAACCACCACCTAACCGTTTATCTATAACACACCCCACAACACTTACCATCATCCGTGATTACACATCTTGATTCCGCTGGCATCCTCCCACAGGACTGCCATACCCCAGAGGTAGGCAAAGCATCCATATGCTATCCTCTCGTGGGCCAACCAGGCCCAGCCTCTCTTTAAAAAAAAAAAAAAAAAAAAAAAGTGACTGATTTTCATTATTCGAATCAAGAAGTTAATAACAAAATAATGTGTTACAGCTTATACTGTCACACTTAAATAATACAACTTTTGTTCCATGTTTGATTTGCAAATTTCATAAAACACTATTGGTAATTAAACATTCAGCAAAAAGTAAAATTCAGTGTCTTTTTGCTTCTGACATAATGTTTTTCAGCGAATACCAATATATTTGTTTGGTGTCTTAAATAGTTAAATGAAAGGAATAAATTTAACGATGATTGGATTTATCAATGTAAACGTCTCATCTTGCATCTCAACGCCTCACTTTAACGCCTCATCTCAATTTCATCATTTTTCCATTCCAAATCCTCGCACTTGCATTACCATTGAGTTTCAAGTTCGTCAAACAATCAGTTACAACACAAATAATAATTCATCTTGTCAGAACTCAGAATCAGATTCAGTCGACGTGTTCTGTTTGATCCTTTGCCTTAATGTCCTTGACTGACTTGAGCCGGCTCATTCTGAAGCCTGCCCTGTTCTTTGAGGAGCGAGTATTTTTACAGCTCTGGAAACTGAGGTTCATGATTCTCATCCTCACTTCCGCTGAAAATATGGTGTAAATTGTTTGTCTGGCCATTAGATAATACAGTTTAATCAATTTCATCTAATGTATAATACATTGTATATAAGTGTATAGTCATACGTGTGACGTCATACCACGTGCGGTGTGACGTCATATTACATGCGATGTGAAATTCTAACACCACTATTTAATCCTACCTGTGAAATCTCCGCTAATAATGTGTGTAAAGAAGGACTCCGCCAGCTCCTGGTTCTGTTTGAACACGTCAGCAAAATCAAATGAGTCCAGAAGAGTCGGGACTACTTCCATATTTTTAGTGTCTGAAATTGAAGAATGAAGAGGTGAAATTTTATTAATTATCTAGGCCTAGCATGATTATTGATTATAAAATCAAAACGTTTCAATTAAGATGTCAAGCATGCATGATAATGGAGTAAAAATGAAGGTATTCGGGAAAATTAGCTTTTGATAATTAGTGTGCTAAACGATCGCATATTTTAATCAATAATTATGCTAGATATGCAGTTCAATACATGTAGAGTCACCAGTCACGTTGTACATGGAAATGCACGAGGTTTTTAGCAGTAAGAGGAACGCGTGCTCGAGCAAAACATCTTTATGACAAAGAGATGGTGAGCACTTACGTTATGACGTCACACCGCACGTGGTATGACGTCACACAGCATGTGGTATGACGTCACACAGCACGTGGTATGACGTCACACAGCACGTGGTATGATGTCACACCGCACGTGGTATGACGTCACACAGCACGTGGTATGATGTCACACAGCACGTGGTATGACGTCACACCGCACGTGGTATGACGTCACACCGCACGTGGTATGACGTCACACCGCACGTGGTATGACGTTACACAGCACGTGGTATGACGTCGCACAATTAAGTTAGGGAATAAAACGAAAGTTCAACCATCATCTGAATGTAACCGTTAAGAATCAACAGTCAACACGACCAATTATAATTCACAACAGTGTTTAAAAAAACGAATAGAAATTTGAAAGATTTTTACAATTCAATTTCAACATATGTATGGATGTATCAGATCATCACTGAAATACAAATCAAACAGAATTATAAAAGGAAATGTACAGACCCAGTCTGAGCCAGAAGAGAACGAGGGACAGGACATCTATCGAGTTGTGGGTGTTTACACTGCACAGGAACTCCACCAAATCACGTGACAATTTCTTCATCTTGTTACATTCCTGCAACGAAACTATCTGTGTAGGTTGGAGTGCGACAGCATGCATTTTTTTCCTTACGGACCTTATGCGAACCAAGACGCCCTGAGCGTTTAGTATTTTATTCAAGCCCTAGCACTGTTGGTTTCCTGGACACCCCCGTCATACTCATTACCATGTTAAACTCTCGCTATCTCGATTACTAAGTGATCATTTAATTCCTATGATTATCACCAAGGATATTAACAAACCAATTAATTGATAAGTTAATTAATTAGCTGGTTAATTAGTTAATTAGTTAATTATTTAATTAGTTAATTAGTCAGCTAACTAAAGACGACTGACCTTTATGTGCGCACAAGTGAGCTGCATATTGTGACCCTCCTCCAGGTATTTGGAGCACAGCTTCATCACTACTCTGTAGCTATCCATACAGTGGTTTTGGGACCGTAATCCCAGCTCCAGGAAGTCAAACACTAGCTCCGGGTTGATGTGCTGGTCGGGGTGTTAGGGGGTGTTAGGGGTTGTTAGGGGTTTTTAGGGGTTGTTAGGGGTTGTTAAGGGTTGTTAGGGGTTGTTAGGGGTTGTTAGGTGTTGTTAGGAGGGTGTTAGGGGTTGTTAGGGGTTGTTAGGTGTTGTTAGGGGGTTGTTAGGGGTTTTTAGGGGTTGTTATGGGTTGTTAGGGGTTGTTAGGGGTTGTTTGGGGTTAACTTGATCGCGATTGTTTATCATCCGGTCTATTATCTGGTTTTTAATTTTTGTCTTCTCGACTTATTTATATTGAAGGAAAAACAAATGCAAAATGTTGGCTTCTGAAAGTACGTATTATAAAATTGTTTCATACCACGACCATATTGGCCATTTTTAATTTGCAGCACTTTTTGGTCGAATCATCTAAACTTCTTAAAACAAACCTCTGTAAAGTAGACTAGACAGCAGTCAAATATCCACTGAAATTCAAAGAGAGTGCTAAACATGAGGAAACTGAGGAGATTGCGGGAGTTTAGAGAGAGTCTCCCGTTGTAAAGAGGCCTCACCATCTCTTTAACCTGAAGATAAGACTGTTTTATTGGTGATGATGATGTCATATTGGTGATGATGACGTCATATACTTACTTACTTACTAAAAATCACGGTAATTGATTGACGCCGTGACGTTTATCAATACAGTGTCACATGAGATGACGTCACACCATATAAGATGACGTCACACCGCTTGACATTACGCCACACCAATCGACATGACGTCACACCACATGACATGACGTCACACCATATAAGATGACGTCAAACCACATAAGATGAATTCACACCACTTGACATGACGTCACACCATTTGACATGACGTCACACCTCATGACATAACGTCACACCACATGAGATGACGTCACACCACTTGACATGACGTCACATCACTCATGATGATTATACTTGACGCTAATAAAACCTGCTCGACGTCCAGCTCCAAAGTAGATACATCAAGACGTTTGCAGTTCTCAGAGTGGATCTTGAAGTGAATAAAGGAGCTGTTAGCTGCTAAAACTATTCCGCTGAGTCCTATCTCCGAGGATCCCACTTTAAATTGGAAATCTGCAATAGTGCAAGAGGTGTTAAATTGGAAATCTGCAATAGTGCGCGAGGCGTTAAATTGGAAATCTGCAATAGTATTAAATACATGAGAGAGGAGAAAAAGGAGAAAACTAGGGAAAAAAGAAAAAGAAAGCAAAATTTGAATAAAGAAAAAACAGTAAACGCTGTTAATGTTATATCCAGTGAGTACACACTAATCTTATGACCTGAGTAGGATGGGTTGTTGATGTAGACATCAGGATCAAACACCAACTTGTCCCTGTAAAAGTACTTGTCCTGCCCGGAGGAGGAGGAAACAGAGGAGGAGGACCTCGGAGCGGAGTTGTTGGAAGAGTGTGGAGTGGAGCCTACTGAGGGGGCTCTCTTGTCTCCAGCGCTCACAGCTGCACTCTCCGCCACCTGTTGGGGGTGTGATATCTAAATACGTGACGTCATAACACGTGACTTCATAACACGTGAAGTCACATGATATCATAATACGTGATGTCATAACACGTGACGTCATAACACGTAAAGTCACATGATATCATAATACGTGATGTCATAACATGTGACGTCATAACAAGTGACTCTCCATATATGAACGTCATACACTCTGTAGCTCATACAGTGGGACGTTCATCAGTGAAGTCAATAACACTCGGGTGGCTGGCGGGTTTATGTTTAAGGGTTTTATGGGTTTAGGGATTAGTTAAGGTGTAGTGTTGGGGTTTAGGGTTGTATAGCGTTGTAGGTTGTATTTTAGGTTGTTAGTGTAAGGGTTTTAGGGTGTTATGTAAAGGTTGTTAGGAAGGGGTAGGTTGTTCAGGAGTGTAGGGTGATAGTGATATTGTTACGTTTCGATTATTTTAGGGATTGATTGTAAGGGAAGTTATTTGAGGGAGGGATTTATTGTTAGAGGTTGAGGTATATCATCATAAGGGTCGATTTTTTGATTTTTTTGTAGTTTTTTATTTTAGCTGATTTTTAATCCGATTTTTTCATCAGTTATTATCTGGCATTTGCTTCGATTATTATAGAAGGAACACAAATAGCAATATGTTGGTCAATACGTATTAGAAGTTTATACCCGGTATTGGCTTTTACTTTGCGAGATTTTGGTCGAATATCTAGCTACTTAACCAACCGTAAAGGTAGCTAAAATAAATATCCAATGAGTTAAGAGATCTAAAGCATTGAGCTGAACTTAGGAATTGCAGTAGTTTAGAGCAGTTGGGTCGTCTTGCCCGTTGAAAGAGTTGGACATCAACCTTGAAGAAAATGTGGTTATGGTAGAAGACGCGGAGATGACGTCAAACTGTGATCATTACTAATAAGTGTGCATATTTGACCAATCATGAATATAAAATTTAGTATACCTGTTTTATTAACTTCAAAATTTTTGAAATGACGTCAAAATGACTGACGTCAACACATACATACGTTCACATATATGTGACCACAAAAGATTTCACACACTTGAAGAGCAAAATTTTTGACAAAATGATCAACGGACTTAAACATGTGACGTCACACCATTAATGAGTACGACCTTGATTGACGGACACTTATGGGATGATAATCCGCTATGGTTACCTTGACGCAAATTAAATGTCGATGTCCGTCCAAGTAGTAATAAGACGTTATGGTTCTCACGGGATTGGTTAAAGGGTGTTAGTTAAAAATTGTGGAGTCCAATCATCATGTCCCCACTTTAAATTGTAAACTTCTAATTAGGCAAATTTAGTTGGAAATTAATGTTCGCAAGCTTCTAATTGGAATTTGCTTATTCAAAAATGAGAAGTGAACTGAACAAAGAGAAAGAGAATTACTAAAGAAGTCAAACGCTGTTATGTTATATCAGTGCATATCTATGACTAGTCATAATGAGTTTTGATTTAACATGTGATAAAACGCATACTTGTCCTGGTATAAGTATTTGTCTGCGAGGTGGAAACAACAAGACACGGATTTGTGAGAAGATGTGAGTGGACCTATTGGGTCTCTGTTACGCTCACAGGACTACTGTTGATACAAACGACTACACATATATAACAGGTTACGGTCAATTGCTTATAACATACGTATAAACTGAACATGAATGTGTTTTTTTTCAACAAAGGATTACTAAATTAACTTAAGACACGACCGTTTAATGACAGATAGTACAGTAAACAACGTATTGTACAATCATGGCGATATCGAAAGGTTGAGTAAAGATTCTAAAAAAGACTCATATTTAGTATACCGATTGGTAAAGCGGGCGTAAGATATATTAACCCTATAAATTAATTCAACCGTACTATATTAGAAGCACATATTATAACGTAAGGATTGTGTCAACTTCTTTTCTGAATTTTGCTTAATCGACTGACCAAAATGGTCGTAATAGAATCCTGCTATTTTAGGTTATTAACATATGACGAGCTCAATCAATAGCTTTTTATGTTTCATTAAAACGTTATCATAGCTTAGATCGTGTAATATAATCTGCAGGCAACTTGACAGATTACTATACACAATGTCGAATTGATTCAGTTACGTTAAATACGAAAAAACTTTGTATAGCGTTAACATTAAGTATGCTTACTTCATTTATAACGACTGAAGTGTTAACATTTTTCCAACAAAAGTGTTCTTACTGCAATTACTGAGCAAAAAATATAAAAATAACCCTTAATTTATGAGTGCTATCAACGAAAGTGACAAGTTTTATGTCTTTTGCATATTAGAAGACAAAATTTCGTCCGTCGCGAAATATGTACGCCCTTAGAAATTGTCTCGGATAATAATACTCAATAAATGTATTTAATTGTAGTTGTGAAAATATATTTAGACTTTTAGAGATATCAAATATCAGGGAGTTTAAATTGATTAAGATAGCAATAACCTTATTGCTTATGGCCCAGTGCATCTAAGTAATACTTATGGTGCATCAAAGTAACACTTGGTTGTGGCTATATTAACAAGTTAACAGTAGAATAAAGGCCGGGTTTCGTAAAGTTCAACAATTAAATCAAATTCCCAAACTAATTTTTCCGAGATCATAATCACAGCATACAATCTATTAGCCAGATATACTAAGAGATACGTGTAAAGAAGAGCAATTAGATAAACATAACATACCTTTTCTTGGCTAGTGTTATCCATCCAGTATCATAAAAAGTACAAAAAACTATATATTATACTGATAAAATATCCCCAGAAAAGTAAATAATTCTCAAACTATCAGTAGGGCAAACGAATAAGACGACATTATGCAAAAGACAAAGTAATTCATCCAGCATTCCCGGGTACATACCTTTTTGGAATTCGCAATTCCAAGTCTAATAACCGAACAAAGCATCTGGATACGGTTTAAACACCCCGCCTAAGCTTGACCTTAATGATTTATAAGATCTGTGTTAGAAGTTGCGAAAGTCACCTTTAACCGTGTGTATTGTATCACCGAAATTAATCAAAGGAACAAATTCCTGAGGAGTCGTGTTTGTGGTGAGATTGAGCAAGCTATTTTCTTTTATTCGATCTCATTCCCAGGACTATTAAATTAAATGACGGTGATTATAATAGTAGTAAGACAAATAACAGTGATTATTAATGGTTTATTCCAGACTAATTTAAGAATATTCGACAATAACGTAGGCGCCCGACCGATTAACAACATTATGTCGGGTGTCGGTAAATTATTTCCAGGTTTGGAGTTCCGGCCAATTAATCAGGTCTTTGCCCGCGTTGGGAGTCAATTAACAATTAGACACTTATAAGTTATAACGTGACTAATTGATAGTTCAACTGCAGATAGTTCAACTACAGATAGTTCAACTGCAGATAGTTCAACTGCAGATAGTCCAACTACAGATAGTTCAACTACAGATAGTCCAACTACAGATAGTTCAACTACAGATAGTTCAAATACAGATAGTTCAACTGCATGTGCAGATAGTTCAACTACAGATAGTTCAACTGCATGACGTGCAGATAGTTCAACTACAGATAGTTCAACTGCATGTGCAAATAGTTCAACTACACTTACAGATAGTTCAACTGCATGTGCAGATAGTTCAACTACAGATATCGAGTTTGGAGTAACCGCAACAAAACGATAATCAACAAATAATTAGTTGAACTGCTAACAGGCACTGGAGTAAATGTAGATGATGTTGGCGTGAAGTTACTGAGACTGAGAGCAGGAGTGACAGGAACATCAATCTGCAGCACCGGGGCTTGTTTTGGTAATACATTAAAAAGTTCATCTAGGCTCTTGATGAACTTGTCTTTCTTGGACTGCGCTGACTTTGCCCCCAGTTCTCGACGTCTTTTATCGATGGTTTTGATTTTCCTGCAATAGTTTTAAAATTACAAACAGTATAACCATACTTTAATAAACGGAACAAAATAAAAACGGATCGGACAAAAGCAACAAAAATAAACGGATTATATATAAATTATAATTGACACCATGAGACTCTTTATAAAAATATGCAACTTACTTAGTAATATCAGATGCAAATCTATGAACTTTGGAATTTTCTGTGACATCGTAGGCGGCAAGTAGGTTGACAGCAACAGGACGGTAGAACTCAATAATCGAATGTATTATATTTTACATTTACCAACGTTGGCTTCTTCAACAAGAAAAAGTAAATGCGATAACACATGATGAAGCAGAGTTGGCTGACAAGAAAAATTTAAACGTTTTGGTTTTACACAATCCTCAAGTTTCATGGTGAGCAAATGGCTCGCAAATTCATAAAATTGGTAAAAATATTATCCATGATGTTTTTATATAATTATTGAATATTGAGGTTAATTGTGCATGGGGAGGTGTGGATTTTGTGCACATAAACCCGATTTTGTTCCAGAACATTGGAACTTCGGTGGCAGTTACTAAGTATTGAAGTATTGAAGTATTTACCTTGGGGCTTGGACAATGGACCATGTGTTCTAAAATACTAAAATAGAAGTTAAAATTGTGTCTATTGAGCACTGTTACCTCATGAGGTTAATTGGTAATTATATATTATGTCGAGGCGGAAAAGGTGCAGGAGACCACCTACTCCACGGTGGCATCTGATACGATACAATACAATACCTCATGAGTCATAATGTCTAATAATGAATAAGCTTCGGGGCAATTACACTTACAGTTCAAATTGTATCGAAATAATTGTTCAAGTTACGAAAATACACCACCCCGTTGGGTGAATTAATGGTCATCCATCCGGATCCCGATGGCATTATCGCGGCACTGTCGTGACACTATGACGGCACTCTCGTGGCACTATGGCGGTATCACATAGCAATAACAAGTCCCACGTGCAATGTTCAGTTGTTTTAGAATCTGGATCGGTATGACGTAGGTTATAGATATTAACTTGACGTGAGGACAAACAGTACGTACGATCGAGAGGCAATCAGCTCCGCCGGTATTTGTAGGATCACCTCAAAGTCCACCGCAGGTAACCAAGTGCGTAAGAGGGTCCTCTGACAATATTGACGATTCCACACCCATGAAATCAAGGAAAAGATATTTGTTCATCTAAAAACTGTTTCATTTGCCCCACGAAAACCTCACAGAACCTCCACGCGGTGTGGGGTGGGTGGCTCGAACGCACAGGAGGACCAATCTATGCTAGGAAGGGACTAGCCATCTTTACATGACAACAAAGGAAATTGGCTCTAATAGCCTCTACTAACCTTAGAACCGCAGCATAACCGCTATTCCATATTCCCACTGGCAAATAACACCTTCCGCAGGAAACTAACACGCTGCACAGGCTCGCTGCTCGCTCGCGCTCCCACGTCTTGTGTACCCTATGATTTGGTTTTGGATCGGACACTCAAAACAACGATAGAAGAGCGGTCTGCACGCTCACAAGATACCATTTCTCGTGCGTATATCTATGTAAATGTTTAATATATGACTCAGAAGGAAAATTTTAACAATAGTGTTTCAGTGTGTATCCTAGAAAATTCAAGTCCTAGTAGTTTAGATGTTAAGGAGCACTGATATATACATGCCTTAAATTCCCTCCGCCCCTCAGGAATGAATAGTACAAACCCTTTTAAGATTCCTTTATTGCATAATTGATTTTTATTTTGTCTGAGGGGCTTTCCATAAATTATTTTTTTAAATAATTGGTCCTTTTATTGATGTTTCATATTTCACGGCAGTTTCCTTTTCAGAGTTTGAGTTTATATTTAGAAACTGACCATACTATCTTTTAGATTTATGTCACTTATGATGGCTCCGGCTGAAAGTACTATGACTCATTTTATCTAGAAGATTGTAGTTTCATTGCTTCTGAAGTAGCTATCAGTTCGCCGGTCAATGTTGGGTATAATACTCTGATGTTTAATATATTTATGGTATATGATTTGGGAGTCTCTCAGTCTCTCTCCAGCAGCAGGAGTTGGGGAAATGGGGACGCGTTGTGAAAGCCACCGTAAGGAAGGCTTACTGTCGACGCCGACCAATCAAAAGAAGAACTGTTTCATTTGTTTGTGAGTACACTACGGAAAATCAAAATATCATGCATTGCGACTTGCGCAGTGCTCTCAAAACAGTGCGATTGTTTTACTTTTAAATTTGCATTGTTTTGAGAGCAACTTATATTTATAACAACATAGTCGGTGAAACAAAGAAATATACCCAGCAAGGTATCTATATTGTGACTTTTACTTACTATTATATAATCAGTGTTACCAGTTACCACAGTTCATATATTGATATAAATACTGAACAGTGGCATTAATACAAATTATTAAATGAATCGAGTTTATTCCCAATTAGCCAATTCCATTTAATGTAAAATGTGTGCTTAGCTCTCAGATCAATTAGTCTTTATATGTGTTTACCATTTTATTTTAGTTTTCTTCATTCAATATCTCCGTGAGTTTATAATATTTTATTCTAATCCATTTTCCTGTTATTTCCTTTTTCATGAAATTTCTAATGAATGAATCGAAAGGTTCTGATATCTTGATGTTATATTTTACATATAAGGAGGCAGTCAAAGTACTTATAGCGGGCTATAATTAATGGCGACTTGCCGTTAGTATATTGACTTTGTTGCATCGCCATTTCTGTTAACATGGCTAATAAAATACTGCGTAAAATAAAAGGATTTCAGATAATATTATGTTATTGTTAATCAATGACAATTTAATATATGCCTTTAACTAAAATACATTTCAATTGATTGCAGTATCTCATTCTCTTGTCACTGACAATATCATCAGTAGCTCAGATAGCAATTAGTAATATATTGCAGTAATAATGGTCATGAAGTTGAGACTGAAGGATTGGTGGTTCAATAAATAAAGGATGTAAATTTTCATGTGATTTATGTGATTCATGTGATTTATGATCATTATTAGCCGAAAATATTGGACCTAGCCCTCAAGAATTTTTCCTGGAAATTAATGAAATTTCTGATTGATATCCGGCCAATTACCAATACCTTCTAAACTACTTACTATAGTCGGATATCCGATCAATTTCTAAATTTTATCACTATCAGAGTAAAATTGAGTGGAATTTGAATTAAAATATTGTCAAATTGTTATCATTCTAGAGCCAGAGGGTAAAAAAGAAAATTTTTATTAACCCCCTCCCCCTCGGCTGATTACATATGAACGACCCTTTATCAACTTAATGATAACGTCTGATTCCAGAGACAAAAAGAAACCATAAATTGTTAAATTTTGTTGCTAAAATCTCCAATCTCGCAAATTAACATTAACAATTCAACAATGAACCATATCTACAAGACAAACTCATAATACTCCTAATAAATGTTTTTACATCACCTTTAGCTCTTTACACACCATGATATAAAAAATTCTAAAATTCAAATAGTAGTATCAAATAATATTAATATTTTGGATTTAACTCAAAAACTTGCTAAAAACTTACAATATTTTCACTCAAAAATAATTACATCAAATAAACAACATTTCCTTATCACTCTGCTCGTATAGACGATAGAGTATACTGTTTTCTTTTTCAATTATTTCAGAAACAATTTCAGCATGAGAAAAGACACGATTCCTATTTAAAGACGCATAGTTAGAGACACGATTTTTATTTAGATACATGGTCTGTTGGTCTCTAGTTAGAGACATGGTCTCTAGTTAGAGATTTTGTTGAAGGGGTTAAAGGGGTAGGTAAGAGTGACGTGTCTTGAAAGGGACCCAGATTTAACAAAGTGGGATGGATCATGAGCGGCAGCTGGGAACGGTCTGAAATAAAGTGGAGGTTTGATGATAATTCTGATAGGACACTCTAACACATGACAAAGGAAGATTTATATTACACACCAGTACCCCGCTATAACAGTATAACACAAGGGAGGAAACAATTTGTACCAAAACAAAAAACCGCGTTATAACGAGGTCCGCGTTATAACGAGGTACAGCTGTAGTTAATTAACAAGAATTAGGCATTTTTGAGGATCAATAATGTATCTTATTGCTTTATTTGTAACAAATAAGAATTAAGTATTAACGCGACGAAGAGAGGGAGATCAGGAAGTATTTCAACAGTATATCTGTGAACAGTGTTTTAATAATAAAACTGTTGCCGCTAACAAGGGTTCTCATTAGTTTCTAAAAAAGCTGAAGGAAGAAGAAGAGTCTGACCTGTGAACTGTGTTGACAGTGGTAGCATCATAAGAGAAAGTGGGTGTACTTCTCCTCACCACCGGAGTCTGAGGAATGTAACCAGCGTACCCTGGCAGCCTTCTCTCTCTGAAAACAACATTGCTATAGTAACCAGGTTAGTAACTATAGTAACTAGCATACCCTGGCTGCATTCTCTCTCTGAAAACAGCATTGATCAGAGTGGAAGTTTTTGTTCTGATTTGGTACTATAGTAACCAGGTTAGTAACTTTAGTAACTATAGTAACCAGCGTACCCTGGCAGCCTTCTCTCTCTGAAAACAACATTGCTATAGTAACCAGGTTAGTAACTATAGTAACTAGCATACCCTGGCTGCATTCTCTCTCTGAAAACAGCATTGATCAGAGTGGAAGTTTTTGTTCTGATTTGGTACTATAGTAACCAGGTTAGTAACTTTAGTAACTATAGTAACCAGCGTACCCTGGCAGCCTTCTCTCTCTGAAAACAACATTGCTATAGTAACCAGGTTAGTAACTATAGTAACGATAGTAACCATAAACCAGTATACCCTGGCAGCCTTCTCTCTCTCTGAAAACAACATTGATCAGAGCGGAAGCGTTTGTTCTGATATGTTATGTTCAACACGGAAATATATTTAAAACTGAAAATAGAAAAATAGAAATAATTGAGAAGTTGTTATTTTCAGTTCCATCACTCTGTAATATTACATCAGAAAATAGAAATAATTGAGAAGTTGTTATTTTCAGTTCCACGACTCTGTAATATTACATCAGTAACTCGCAAAAAGCTGGTCTTATATGGTCTCTGAAAACCTCGGATATAATATCACGATAATGCTGTGTCAGTAAATATTTGACATAGTATCCCCGCGTTACTTTGTCAGTACACGTTGTATATAATATAACTACACTGTCAACAACTTGACGAACTCTATAACTCGAGGTAAAACGTACACTGCCACTAAATCGTGTTTTCTCTCAGCTTGGTACGACCGTGTATTCAGTGTGGACAGTTTGATCGAGTCTATAAATTATCGTTATTAATTAATTAGCATTGCGTCATTTGTAATTGCACTTGGATTCAAGGAAATTGATTTGACTTGACCCAATTTTAATGATTAAGAAGCTGTTGTTACCTTGGATTGGGTCTTGACTATCATACACAACCACTGCTCTGAGATTTGGTTAGTTATTGGTTTGATTGTGTAACTACTTTCATTTTACGGTAATCCTATTGGTGTTTTTAAGAAATGCTGTGACCGTTGTACTGTTGTAGACCAACTTATCCGTTATCTTCACTTTTTGGGTCTTGATACTTTGATATTGATCTCGGACCAAATAAAATCTCTCTATAATTCAGAACACAGTGAGACGTTGACTACAATGAGAAAACGAATGAAAGCAAAACAAGAGGGCGGGTCCCCCCTAGCACACAGGTGCCCAACAGGGTTCTCCAAAGCTAGAGAAGAAGATGAGGCACGTGAACTGAGGGAGGCTGAGTCACGTGATCCGGAGGTGGCTAGGAACAAGGAGGATGCTATGAAGATACCTGGTGCCAAGTGGGACCACCAGGCTGCTTCTGCAGGAGGAGTGGGGGTGGGTACAGCTGAAAAATCAGAGGAAGAGGCTTACAAATCAGAGGAAGAGGCTGACAAATCGGTGGAAGAGGCTGCGATTCCAACAGATGATGCACCCACAGAAACAGAAGTACAGACTCAAATAAAAGATACAGCTGTGATAAGACAGGGAGATGATTCCGGAACGGAAAAAGAAACAAAGCAGGCTGACAAAGTCTCAACTCAGCAGCCCCCTGCAGAGATCCCCATAAAGACTGATACAAGTGTTAAAGATCAGGAAATGAAAAAACAAGACTCAGAAGTAGGGTCCACTCAGCTGTCAGTAACAGGGACACCGTCAGTAACAGGGACACCGTCAGTAACAGGGACACCGTCAGTTAGGGATAAGTGGAGTGAGTGTAGCAACAGGGGTTCTGAGGCGGTAACAGAGGAAGCGGGCAACACAACTGTTGGTAGTGTGAGGAAGAGACCGTGCATAATTCTGTGAAGTTTGACAGCACGATTAATCAATCATTATCACGTGACGTCATCACACTGTCGCGTAACGTCATTACACTGCCACGTGACGTCATCAGCAACAGAGTAGGCTGGAATCACTACATCTTACTATTTGTACTGGTAGTATGAACTGTGAAGAAGAGACTGTGAATTATTAGCTGGCTTGATGTGTCAGCTCTTTTATAGAAACTAAACTAAAATTGTTCCTGGTGAACGGGCAATAAATGATCATGAGAAAACACCTTTAAAGATCTGCAATGACTGAAGTGAACTGATTTGATGCTAATATCCAAGTTTTTAGTTGGAGAATAATTGATTTGCTTTGACGCGTGCATGAATTATGAATTTGTTGATAAAATAAATGACAATGTTTGTTCACCCTCTATTTGAAGAATATTTTATTTGTAGTTGATTTTAATTGCACATTTGCATTTTGTAATTTGTATATCCGGAAAGTTTTTTAAGTCACGCAAATACGGTCATGAATAAGTCTTCAAGTTGTGTAGGAGAATGATGATTGAACTGAGTGGTATAAATGTGCCGGGGTAAGGGTTGCTCGATGATGACAGTTTCCAGCATATTGGGGAGGGTCCCACACGACGTCATATACGTACGAAACCTTAGCAACTCTGTTGTCACACAACATTTCGTTTTCATTGAAGTTGAACAAAATAAACTATGACGTTATAACCACACCTCTACTCCGGGAACTAAGAAGTTTATTGTCCAATGTATGAAACTGAGGGTCCAGGGGCCGCTGTTAACCATCACCACTACCTCGTCACCACCAGATGTGTGTGTGTGTTATAAGTTAAGTTAGTACGTTATATAATATCACACCCTCCACTGCACCCAAATAACAAAGCAATAATACATTACTTTGCTTTGTTAGAGACGCTATAATATGATGATAGTACGAAACAGCAACTTTAATGAAGTACAAGGGGGACAATTCAACATGGGATGACAGGCAAACCTGGATGAAATTTACAAAAATGGGGAATATTGATAAATTACATTTAAAGGGAAGAGATAAGAGATTTAAAACGATAACCTAGACTTAAATGTCAACTTAGAATAATTAAGTTATAAATTGGATTCTTAATTTTAGTTGTATCGTATTCTAGTCGGATATCGAACTGACTACATTACAGTACAGTACCTAACTTCCCAAGGCTTGGTCGTCTAACCTATCTCACGTGACGTACTACAAACAATCACGTGACATTTAGCAAGCATTCAATGAGTTACACGACAGTTAAAATCAACATGAATAAACCGACAATACCCCATGTTGAACCTAACCTTTCATTTTCTATCTTTGTAAATTTTAGAGAGAATTAATACAACAGATTTACCGTAGTCACCATCTTTTTATCGCCCGTCATCATAGATAGTTTCCACGGCTACAGATAGTTTCTACAGTTAATTTCCACGACTGAGATTGTTTAGATCTGGTAGTGATGGGGAAACTGTCCCCCTTGTTTGTCTTGCTGGTTGTTATCTTAGTGTGCGATGCGCGCAGAAGAGGAAAACAGCACCAAGAGGAGGAGGAGCACAATGTTTGCGAGGAGAAAGTTGTGCACAAAACCGAGTTTAAGTTCTACAAATTCTGCATCGCCTTCGGTAATCTAACACTTCGTTTATGCCACTATTTGGTTAATACCCGTGAAGGTCGTGTTTCGGACGGGTTTAATGACTAATGGAGTAGGGATCTGCCGTTAATTGTACAGCAGTCCTTGGTTTGAGCCGCTCACATATTGGGCCGTCCAAATAAGGGAGAGATCCGAAAACCTGTTTAATTCATTGACTGTATAAATTAGAATTTCTGTATCAAAAACAGGTTAGTAACTAGATAGTAATCAGGTTAGTAACTATAGTAACCAGGTTAGTAACTATAGTCACCAGGTTAGTGACTATAGTAACTATAGTAACTATAGACCGGCCTTCGTGACGTGGCCCTTTGATAGCTGTGATCAATACTATACTTTAAAGTTTAAAAGCACTTCTGGTGAATTGACGTCCGTAATAAGATTAATTAAACCTAGTGGATTTGTGTAGTGTTATTGAGTCTTATGGTTTGATGTTTCTTTCATTCATTCAAATTTCTGATTATTTCTGGATAGATTCAGTGAAGACAGATTCCAATGAAAATAAATAGCTGAATAACGTATCGAAATCCTACGTCATACGCATATTTTCAAATTATTTGATATATAGTAGTGTTGAAAGTATTAAAACCTAAATATAACAAATAATTTGACAATATGAGTATGACGTAAAAATTTCGATACGTTATTCAGCTATTTATTTATTTCTGATATTGTTGAAAGTACCAAAACTGTTCAGTAGATCATCCTTGCAGGCTTCAAATCGAAGATAGGCTGCGTCCATCATCCCGCTAAGAAGATGAAGAGAATGCATCAGAAGAGCGAGGAAAAGTGCACCAAATATGAAGAGAAACTTCTAGAATGCAATTACAAATGTCCAGGTGAAGAAAACATATAATATCAGCTCCACTTTTTACTTGATTGACAACAATTTTGAAGTTTTTGTCCACATTTTTTTCAGCTCTACCCTAACAGTGCAGCCAGACTATTTCTAGATAAGGCACTATAATCGCTATAAAAGTAGCATATAATTGCAGTCGACGGAGGCTGGAGCGAGTTCCACAACTGGTCCAAGTGCAGCGCTAAGTGTGGGGGTGGAACACAACACAGGAACAGGACCTGTACCAAACCTGCTCCTAAGAACGACGGGCTTGAGTGTGTGGGGAGTGCGGAGGAGTGGCAGGATTGCAACTTGGAGCCTTGTGCGGGTAAGTGCGGGTTAGTGCGGACAGGATTGCAACTTGGAGCCTTGTGCGGGTAAGTGCGGGTTAGTGCGGGCAGGATAGCAACTTGGAGCCTTGTGCGGGTTAGTTTTATATATTTGAATTTCTTGAGCGGGTTGGTTTTACGTATATATCTATTGTGCAGGTTGTCAGGTTGGATTCAGAAGATTAAATTTCGTGCCCGATTATTTCCCGAATGATCGTCCAACTGTGACTATTCTGATAACCATTACAACTCCATTTTCAATTACTGCGACTATTCTAACTATTCTAACTAACAATACTCCACTCCCTCAGTGAACGGAGGGTGGGGTGACTGGACGGAGTGGTCCCACTGCAGCGAGTTATGTGGAGGTGGGAACCAGACCAAGACCCGGAGGTGTAACAACCCACCACCCAGTTCGGGGGGTCTTCCTTGTGACGGCATTATCTCCACTACTCGGGAGTGTGACATTCAGCCATGTCCCAGTGAGTATGACCGGGTAACTTTTAATTTATAACATGAGTTATATTATAATGTGGGAAGTGACAAATGAATGGAAGTATGAATATACTATGATAAGTTTAAATTTGATAGATTTACCATGATTCAATGAACAGTATCAGGTCCATTATCACCTCAGTCAACAGAGTGAGTATGACCCGGTAACTTTTAATCTATAGCATGAGTTATAATGCGGGAAGTGACAAATGAATGGAAGTATGTCCTCTAAATAACACACCTCAGTTAACGGAGGGTTCAGCGAGTGGGCGGAGTGGAGCAAGTGTACCGCTAAATGTGGGGGAGGAATACACTCGAGAAAGAGGAAGTGTAACAATCCGGTCCCGCAGTACGGGGGAGTGGAGTGCACCGGACTGGGAACAGAGACGGAGACCTGCAACACTCAGGGATGCCCAAGTGAGATATTTTTTGTAGAGGTCTTCATGTCAGGAATGTCAAAATGAAAACTTGTATAATATTATTTCTTGACAGCGTCTTTCTTTTGATAATCCGCCTATTTAAAGCGAACTCAGGATGATTCATCAACATTTTAACAAGATACCAATAGCTAAGCTACCGATTCTCATTTTTAATGGTAGTCCCTATTTGGAGACACTACAAACAATGTTCCCCTCAGTTGACTACAAACAATGTTCCACTCAGTTGACTACAAACAATGTTCCCTCAGTTTACTATAAAAACAATGTTCCCCTCAGTTGACTACAAACAATGTTCCCCTCAGTTGACTACAAACAATGTTCCCCTCAGTTGACTACAAACAATGTTCCACTCAGTTGACTAGAAACAATGTTCCCCTCAGTTGATTACAAACAATGTTCCCCTCAGTTGACGGTCAATGGGGTAAGTTTGGAGGCTGGTCGATGTGTTCAGTCAATTGTGGGGGCGGCATCCAAAACAGAACGAGAGTATGCGACAACCCATCCCCGGAGAACGGAGGGAAGGAGTGTGAGGGGGAGGACCTGGTGGGTCAACCCTGCAACCTCGACCCTTGTCCAAGTAAGGGGATTGTTATCTTACTTCAGGACTACTTCGGGGTCTTAAACTTGGTATAATTAGCTTAATTTCCTTGGACAAATACAGTTCCAGCGAGCAAATCATGATTAATCCCTCGTGTAAGTCAGCGATTATCAACAACAAATACATATTTTCAAGTTAACGGAGGATGGGGTTCATTCGGTAACTGGAGTAAGTGCAGTGCGGAGTGCGGAGGAGGAGTGCAGACTCGGAACAGGCAGTGTAACACTCCCAAACCCCAGTACGGTGGAGTGGATTGTGAGGGGGATGCTATCAAGGTGGCAGAGTGTAATGTTCAACATTGTCCCAGTAAGTTCTTAAGTTTAAAATTATGTTCAACATTGTCCCAGTAAGTTCAAATTATGTTCAACATTGTCCCAGAAGTTATCTGAAAATGTGATACGATTCAGAGTATAGATTAATAGTGTTACTTTCAATTCTGATAGTTTTGGGGTTTCCATTTTCATCATTTAAAGGTTTAAAGGTAGATGGAACGGCTTGAGGTGCCCTCAAAAATATGAACTATAAAGGAAAATTAAAATAAAACAGAAATAACAACCACTCAAACAAAACTTAAAATAAAATCAACAGTTAATTTAGGAAACTGAAACCCAAATCCCACACAATAGTTGACGGAGGCTGGGGCAAGTGGGGTGATTGGGCAAAGTGCTCGAAGAATTGCGGAGGAGGAACACAAACGATGACAAAGCTGTGTGATAATCCTCACCCCCAGTACGGTGGAGCCCACTGCGAAGGGGATGACACTAAGAGCAGGGTCTGCAATGAACAGCCTTGTCCTGGTCAGTTTACTCAATATATGGATCATTTAAACTATCGTCGACAAGTAATGATAATCTTCATCTTTATCCAACATCGTGAGACACGTTTATGAAAGAGCACGTGTTTATTATTCAATATGGTGAGACATGTTTGTTCAGTCGATGGAGGTTGGAGCGACTACGGACCTTGGTCTAACTGTACCGAGTCCTGTGGAGGAGGGAAGCAGAACAGAAACAGGACCTGTAACAACCCCGTCCCCAAGCACGGGGGTAAGGAGTGTGCTGATAGTGACGTTGATGAAAGGAAGTGTAGCACACAACCCTGTCCAAGTAAAGTCCTCTCTTAATATTTAAATTTGGTTGAAATTATTGCGGTATTATTAATATAAACTTTCTGTTTTCGTGATTGTTTCCTTGAACGGTTCTTCATCCTCTCAGTTGAGATATGATTATATCGCTACCTTAAACGCTATTCATAACTTCATTATCACACCTCCACCCTCTACCAGTTGACGGTAACTGGAGCCTGTACGGAGAGTGGGGCCACTGTTCAGTACCCTGCGGTTCTGGCAACAGGACCCGAAACAGAACCTGCAGCAACCCGGAACCTCAGTTTGGGGGCGCAAACTGTACCGGAGCATTTGAGAGGATCCAGGAGTGCAACACATTTGCTTGTGGACGTGAGTTTTTGTGCTTTCAATTCCCTTGCTTTGAGCTTTTTTGTGCTGAGTATATTATAAAAAATATATGAGTAAAAAACATGAAAATATGTTTATTTTAACTCTCTAACCACACTCCACAGAGTTTGAGATAATAGGAAGCGACGGGAAGCCTACATTTGATCAGTTGGAGGGGGTTTTGTTATTTGAAGGAGGCACAGTTTGTGCTGATGGGTTTACTAATTTGGCTGCTGATGCTGTCTGCAGACACATGGGGCATCACGCGGCTATTTCGTGGAGGAGTGGCATTCTTTTCAGGTACTGAGGAATTTTGTAATCGAAACAAACCATTTCTATTTAGTTATTTTGACCTTCCTATCAAAATAAATCATTTTTATACAGAAAACTAAACGAAAACATCGTTAAAAATGTTCAATCTAGTATTTTTAAAAATGTGAAATAGTAAACAGCATATAATCTGAAGCGAAGCGGTAGAAAAATTAATTTTTCTTTTCACCTTCCACTAAATCTGGTATTACCGCAGCGATTACCAGAAGTCGGTAGAAACTATAAAGTTGGATGATATTGAATGTAACTCCAACGATTGGTTGGAATGCACTTCCATCAGAAACCCATCTCACTGCACCCACGAGAAAGATGTCCTCATCGCTTGCGAGCTAGGTTCGTTAGATTGATCCATTGTTTTTCATATTTAACTTTAAGTGGTGTGGGAGTTAACTAAGATATATGTGGGAGAAGCCCCCAACCCAACCCCCTGTGGAAGGTAACCCTTCTTGTTAAATAATATTCTTAGACGATCTTATAACCCAACACTGCCGCTTATCAAGGAGTTGGCCGCCATGTAGTTAAGAAAACCTCTGCTTCATGCATGATACTCTCCAATTTAGCAATTTGTTTACAAGTTTACATTAAGCCCACTCATCATTGCTATACTGATAAACGCCTCGGGAGTCGGGATAGGGTTAGAGTTAGGGTTATCGAAGAGAATTATGAGATCCTCGGCCTCCCCGTAACAGCACTATATTACTACTGTTATATAGTGAGATCGTAATAATATAATGCTATCGTAATATAGTGCGAGAACCGTTCTTGTTACAATGATAATCCCTGTTCACAGCACTGCCACGGAACGGGGACTACACAGAATGGTCGGAGTGGTCGGAGTGCTCGGAACAATACTGTGGAGGAGGTGTACAGGATAGGTCCCGGAACTGTAGTAACCCTTCTCCCCGGTATGGCGGTCACGATTGCAAGGGTAATGACACCGAGGCTAGGGAGTGTAATAGTGATATCTGCGGATGTGAGTATGGAATGTACAAACGCCAATAAAATATTTTCCAAGTCCTTTTAGATTCTCAACGTGCTTTTGAACTTGAAGTGCATGAGAATATTTAAATGTATTTAGATTTCCAGCTTTAATTTCGTTTCTACGACTACAGTTTTTAAAATAGATGCCGTAATACAGCATGAGATGCCGTAATACAGCAGATACCGTAATACTGAAGATGCCGATAACCTAACCCTTTTTTAACCCACCAGATTTCGAGACAGTGAACGCTAAGGGAAACAAAATATACTCCCAAGAAGAGGGTGTGCTGCTGTACGAGGGGGGAACCGTGTGTTCAGATGGGTTCGATAATCACACTGCTAACGCCATCTGCAGGTCAACACCCACAATGAAACAGTTATCTACACTCAAACATTGCTATCGTTTATTGTTTAACGTCTGAGAGGTTTTGTAGTTTCACTTGGTTTGAAGGTTTTGTAGTTTCACTTGGTTTGAAGGTTTTGTAGTTTCACTTGGTTTGAAGGTTTTGTAGTTTCACTTGGTTTGAAGGTTTTGTAGTTTCACTTGGTTTGAAGGTTTTGTAGTTTCACTTGGTTTGAAGGTTTTGTAGTTTCACTTGGTTTGAAGGTTTTGTAGTTTCACTTGGTTTGAAGGTTTTGTAGTTTCCCTTGGTTTAAAGGTTTTGTAGGTAGAGATGAGACAAGGTATCTCACAGTACTCTTCACAGGGAGATGGGACACCACACAGCTATTTCCTTCAGAGGAGGAATCCTCTACGGGGACCTCCAAAGACAGAGATTGATAAAACTAGACGATCTGAGCTGTAAGAACGATGACTGGACTACTTGTACTTCTGAGAGAGCCCATGATTGCACTCATGAACAGGATGTTGTATTGGCTTGTGAACTAGGTATAATTAATAAGCAATTATTCATAAACTCACTGCCAATAACTAAACTCATAAACAGCAGGTGATACCGAATTCAGTTTTGCGAACATGGTACAGTTCATTTAAAAAATGTAAATACATAACTTAATAGACAACAGACAACTGTTTATAAACATTTTGATCATATCAAGGGTTCATTGAAACGACTGGATACGGATACCGTCAATTAACATTGTTTTTAGTACCAGAAAAGGTTCCAGAAATAATGCATCAGAGATAATTTTCATTGCCTCTAAACTATCATCGCCAATTATCCATCTTCGATCTCATCACTGCACATTGTAAATAACCTGCTTCACACATAACATCATCCCAGCATTACCCCGCGACGGCCACTGGAGCGAATACGGGAAATGGACGAGATGTACAGCGCAGTGTGGAGGTGGGACCAGAAACAGGACCAGGTCGTGTAACCGGCCCTCTCCGCGATATGGGGGCGCTAACTGCGAGGGTAACGCTACAGAAGTAGGGGAGTGCAATGCTTTCCAGTGCAAAGGTTAGCATACTAATATAGATAGTACACTATATTATAATTATATATTACTGATTACATACTATATAAACTAAGATTGCGAACGTTCGTCCGCTTTCAAAGTAAGATACTTCTTCACAATAAATATGCTGAATGTAAGCGAACTAAAATCACTCAATGAACTGGATTGGGCGAGGAAGATAATAAAATACCATCACAGAATTCAGACTAGTAGACGAGTTCGGAGAGACTAAAACAGATGACCAGTTGGGACTTATCCTTTACGAAGACGGGACGGTTTGTGATGACCAGTTCAACAACCACAGTGCTAACGCTATCTGTAAAGGTAGGTCCAGTTTAATAACCTCAGTGCTAACGCTATCTGTAAAGGTAGGTTTAGTTCAACAACCACAGTGCTAACGCTATCTGTAAAGGTAGGTACAGTTCAACAACCACAGTGCTAACGCTATCTGTAAAGGTAGGTCCAGTTCAACAATCACAGTGCTAACACTATCTGTAAAGGTAGGTCCAGTTCAACAACCACAGAGCTAACGCTATCTGTATTCTGTAAAGATAGGTCCAGTTCAACAACCACAATGGTTAAAATACACTTTTTAATACAAGTGATTATTTACAAAGCTGCTTACCTTTTTACCACGTATGGAAAAGCAAACCATCACAAGGGTATTTACCTATTTCATATTTGATCAAATAGTATCTCAGTACAGGACCCGACTTATGGGCATCCCCTGCCCTAACCCTATTACTTTCGCTTTCACTTTCTACTTATTATACCTCTACAGAATTGGGATACCAGCCTTAACCCTGTTACTTTCGCTTTCCCTTCTATTTATTATACCTCTACTGCAGAGTTGGGATAATAGCCCTAACCTTATTACTTTCGCTTTCACTTTATACTTTTATACCGCTACATAGTTGGGATACCAGCCCTAACCCTGTTACTTTCGCTTTCACTTTCTACTTAGTATACCTCTACAGAGTTGGGATATCAGCCCTAACCTTATTACTTTCGCTTTCACTTTCTATTTATTCTACCTCTACAGAGTTGGGATACCAGAAGTCAGTAGAGTGGAGTAGTGGAATACTGTACGATGATCTACAGTACAGCAAGAAGATCAAGTTAGACGACGTCAACTGTACCTCAAATGCGTGGAGTTCTTGTAATTCCAGTACCATACACAACTGTGATCATACTGAGGACGTGCTCCTTGCTTGTGAGACAGGTCGGTTGTACTTTTCTTTCACTTTCTTATTCACTTTCGCTTTAACCGTAACAATCTGATCATTTTATCGAATATGTATAGATATTTTATCCTCTTTTGTGAGACAAAGTTATGTTTAGCATATAATTTTGACTGATTTTGTGATCTAATTGAATTTATTATTTATATAATTTGATACCACAGGCTAGATGTCCTCATTGAAAACTAACTAAATGAATATTTCTCTGTAAGATAAACTAAATATCACCATGGACTAAACTCAGTTTCACTTTCTGATTAACTCCCTACCTCACAGCAATTAAACGTGACGGAGGTTGGACCCCGTACGGGAAGTGGTCAGTATGCAGTGCAGGATGTGATGGAGGTAACCAGACCCGGGCCCGGACCTGTACTAATCCGGCACCCAAATACGGAGGAGCAGAATGCGTGGGGGATAAGAAGCAGAGCAGGGCATGTAACACTTTCAAGTGTAACGGTGAGTGTAACACGTTCAAGTGTAACGGTGAGTGTGAAACTTTCAAGTGTAACGGTGAGTGTAACACGTTCAAGTGTAACGGTGAGTGTAACTCGTTCAAGTGTAACGGTGAGTGTGAAACTTTCAAGTGTAACGGTGAGTGTGAAACTTTCAAGTGTAACAGCGAGTGTTACATTTTGAAGTGTAACATTTTAACGAATCACAGAGTTCTACTTGGTGGACAGCACCGGTACCGTGATAGAAGACGACCAAGAAGGACTGCTGATGTTTGAAGGGGGTACCGTTTGTAACGACAAGTGGAGTAACAACTCAGCAAATGCTGTTTGTAGGAACATAGGACGACACGCTGCACTTTCTTACAGAAACGGTTCCTTTTTATCATATTTCTGTTTGTTTGTTTGTCTGTTTGTTTGTTTGTTTATAGAACCCGTCCCCAATCTCGTATTGGAAAATGACTAAACTCAATTCTGAGTGTGAATACGGGTGGTATTATCTTTTTGTTATGGATTATTTTAATTCTGGATTGAATAACTTTTGAATCATATCTGACATCTAAGGGTTGAAACTTTGGGGCAATCTATATTTCTATAAGAAACTTCCATGAACCCAAATTTCCCGTTTTAGGTACAATTTTCAAGGATCTACAAATGAAATTGAAGATAAAAGTGGATAGCGTGAAGTGTAGTGGTAATACGTGGTCCACGTGCAATGTTACTCGAGAACACAACTGTGACCATAGTGAGGATGTATTCTTAGCTTGTCACTCAGGTTAGTTTCCTCACACGGGGGATTAAGCTAAATTTAACTGTCGCGGTATATATAATTAATTAGGATCGGGCATGATATTAGTTTATTAGGTTATTAGGGATGACAATGCTAGTATAATACATAATGCCCTGTACATCATGAAATAGCGTCACGCATCATGTGACGTCACGCCAGATTGCAAGTTTTAGTCTCCGTTTCCTTCCTTCAAAGCTGGGTTATTACACTTTTGCGTCGTGTTTCCTCCTGCATATCATGCTACAATCCGCTATTATCACTCCAGTTTTCAAACAATCTCAACCTATCGTCTTGTGGCTGTGAACAGGGTATCTGGCGTGACGTCATGTTACGTAGTATGTGACGTCATTTCATGGTTTATATGACGTCACGTCATAAGATCAGTGACGTCACCTTACACCAGATACCCTGTTCACAGCCACAACTCGAGATGGAAGGTGGGGCTTGTTTAGCACCTGGAGTGATTGTAGTGTGATGTGTGGGGGAGGAAGGGTGAGCAGGAGCAGGAAGTGTGATAATCCCAGACCTACTTTTGGAGGAAATGATTGTGAGGGTAACGAAACAGAGACTAAAACTTGTAATAATGCTCCCTGCCCAGGTTAGGAGTGATTTCCAAGTTCATGCAAGCTAGCCATGTTGAATCTAGAGTCTAAGTTTTGAGATTCTCATGTTTGCAATTTGCCATTTTCTTGGTAATGCACTCTAAATTGTGAGACTCGGCACATAACTACATAAAATTGGTTTGGTGATCCAATCCACAACGACTATTTTAAACCTCTACATAATATGTCTGACGCACAAGTTGACAAGTTGCTGTGTACCAAGTCGATATTTACTGTTTCAAACTTGAAGATAAAGTGTTTCTAGTTCCCGATAACCCCCAGTTGACGGCGGCTGGGGCGTCTTTGGTAACTGGAGCGATTGTTCCGCGGAGTGTGGAGGAGGAAACCAGACCAAAACCAGGGAATGCGACACTCCTGCCCCGAAATTCGGGGGAGCAGAATGCCAGGGTAACTCCACCAAGACCAAGGCATGCAACACTCAAGAGTGCGGATGTGTGAAGGAGAACTACGAGTATCTGGGTGCTGATATTAAGTCAGTCCCGGATGTTAACACTATTCAGGATTGTTTAGAGGTAGGTTATTTTATGAAATGATGATTTTAGAAATTTTATTTCAGTGAAATGTGACAGAATAAACTTATATGAGAGTTCCGGAAAAGTTCATTATACGTTTATGTCCAAATATCTCTAAAAGAAACCGACTTTCATAGCTTAAGAAACGTTTCCCCAGATTTGTGCAGCAGAAGCGGGCTGCGTGGCCGTGTCTCAAGAGATAGCAACAAAAGTGTGCGGTTTGAAGAGTAAGAGGTTCGGAGAGACACAAGGAGTGAAGGATGGGGTGAGCAGCAGCAATATTAGGTGTGGAGATTAGAGGTGAGCCAGACTTATGTTTTTTGTTATCTTCAATCTTATGATAGATTTTCCATTTTTCCAAGTATATTTCCACAAAAGTTGAATCGTTCTCAGGTAACTAAATAAAATGTAAATGATTACCTGACATTTCTATTTTGCAGGCGATGCACATCGGTGGAAAGGACGACATCCAATACTCATGGACAATGGATCAAACTTAGTAACCACCAACTTTCTTAAACAAACACTGAAACCATCTAACAATATATTGCTGACCTTGGAGTAATGTTTATAGTGCATGTGAGCTCCATATTTTATTTCAATACTTCTCAGTTTGACTTTGTTCGGTAGATAATATTAAAAACAAGCTGGCGGTCTGCTTTAACCCATTAGGGACGATAGGGTCGTTTACGACCCACCTTTTCTAGAGGCTATAGAGGACAAACCATAATACTAAACGCAACGAATCTTTCGCACATGTGCTCAAAATTTATTGGGCTACATTATTGACTTTCCAGTCGAGACCCAATTAATCACTAACAACTAAATAATTAGGCTAATTAGTCGTCATAATTGGAAAATATTTCACTTTACTTCTTGCCTTGATTGGGACATTAAAACTTTATGTAGGCTTATTTTGTTGAGGACAAAATAGTTGCGGGCAACAATTTCCTTGAGACATATGAAAAGCCCGTGATAATCAGATGTTCACAAACAGAGCTAGACGCTGTTTACTAACTGCGGTCGCATACGACCCACTCGTCCGGGTCGCAAACGACCCATCACGGTTTTTCGGCTTTAACTTCTGAAACAAAGACGTTAGGATAAAATAAAAACTGTAGCATAAGTTAAAAACATATGGTCAATACTGTGTAACTCTAACTTTTTAAAAATAAAGAATTTGGGTCATTAACGACCCACTCGGCTCACTTGCTTATTACTACATATGTCCATGTAACTTCTTGAATTCAGCCTAAAGCATGACATCATAAGTTCAAAATCGCCTCTCAGCAAGTGATAATCATCATAAACTGCGAAAAATCGGTTAAATGGGTCATTAGCGACCCACTAGGACCACAAAATTGATTAATTAAATATAATGTTGTCAAACTTTTACAAATATTAGTATAAAAACATGTTATATCTTGGTCATTACTCCTGTACGTTGATTTAACTTTTAAAATCGATCAACTGGGTCAATAACGACCCACTCGGAAGTTGAACCACCTCATCAATTATTATCAGTATCATGCTGTTCCACCATCAAGAAAGACACTCGTAGGTCTTAATTCCACGCAAACCACGGGTGGCTGACTACTAGCCCTTCTAAGATCCAGGGCCAACTGAAGGGCCGTCATCACTCATCAAAGAGCTGCGAGAATAACACTACTGCATATGCCTGGAGTTGCGTCCTGACTAATACTATGGTGCGTGGAAATCTGTACCGAAAGGACCGTGGCCGTGCCGCAAAAGAAAAGGAATCGGCCCTCGTTCCTAACTTGCTAAGTAATAGCCATGCTGTTGTTGTTGCTTATTAGATTCTGTTACCTTTTTCGTCAATTTCGAATCTTGGTAAACGACCTGCTACAACCCACCGCTTGAGACCCAGGGTCCCACGGTGATCAGATCATGTCACTCAAGAAAAATCCCCTGAACGAAGTATACGAGATATCATGTAACCTTGGGTAAATACTGAAAGACGAGTGGTCAAATTGCATATTCTAATCCAACATGCCAATCTGTTTTTTTTTTCATTCCTAGAAAGTACGAGAATAACTAAACAACTGTTGCATTCAGATGGCTACATCTACATTCTACAGCTCTGTGAAGAAGGACAAGGTAAAAGCCCCCCCCTCCCCCATTTGGCTGGCGGTGCTGCAACCTGCAATCTCTCAGACAACTACCTCGTTGTGGGTAACAAACCCCGCAACAACGAGGCAGCTTTCAAAACGAAAACAAGTATTACGTAATCGGCCGAGAGGGAGGGGAGTTTCCAAATGATTACGCTTGTGTAATTTTGACATAATACTAATAGCTATGTGGTGGGGGGGGGGGGGGGGGGGGGGCGTAAAAATTGTCCAATAAGTGATTACGTTATATATGAACGGCCCCTAAGAAGTAAACAAAGGGAGCTGCGAAGAGAGTAGATGCAGCCATCTGAAATCTGAATCCAGCAGTTGTATAGTTCTTCTTGGACTTTTTAGGTATCGGGAAAAGATAGGCACGTTGTTTGCTGTCTCACGACATTACGGTCGTATACTAACAGCTGATAAACTCACCTACCTATCAATCCAATTCTGCCCATTATTCGTCAGTCATTGGGTGACGTGATCTGCAGATTACCGTGAGACTCCAGATCTCAGAAGGGCTAGTAGTCAGCCACCCGTGGTTTGCGTGGAATTAAGACCTACGAGTGTCTTTCTTGATGGTAGAACAACATGATACTGATAATTAATGTCGTGGTTCAACTTCCGAGTGGGTCGTTATTGACCCAGTTGATCGATTTTAAAAGTTAAATCAACGTACAGGAGTAATGACCAAGATATAACATGTTTTTATACTAATATTTGTAAAAGTTTGACAACATTATATTTAATTAATCAATTTTGTGGTCCTAGTGGGTCGCTAATGACCCATTTAACCGATTTTTCGCCGTTTATGATGATTATCACTTGCTGAGAGGCGATTTTGAACTTATGATGTCATGCTTTAGGCTGAATTCAAGAAGTTACATGGACATATGTAGTAATAAGCAAGTGAGCCGAGTGGGTCGTTAATGACCCAAATTCTTTATTTTTAAAAAGTTAGAGTTACACAGTATTGACCATATGTTTTTAACTTATGCTACAGTTTTTATTTTATCCTAACGTCTTTGTTTCAGAAGTTAAAGCCGAAAAACCGTGATGGGTCGTTTGCGACCCGGACGAGTGGGTCGCATGCGACCATAGCTGTATCTTTTAAAGTAAACGAGATACAGATTAGCTTTTTTGGATATCTCATTTTTGCTGTAAAGAGACCTAGTGTGTTAAACGGCATCAAAATCGGCAAACTTTAAAACTCGTCGTCCCTAATGGGTTAAAGAAGAGAAGGTCTTTTAATCGAAATTAACGTTGGCTTGATAATATAGTTCAACAAAGTAGCCAAACTAATAATTACTTTCTTTTACAATAGTCATGTCTAGTTTTTATAATTGAGCAGTTTAAATAAGACAAAATATAAATAAAAAAGATCAAAATAAAGTGATCGATTCAAGAAAATATTGAAACACATTTATGTCATAGTGGATACTTTTGTATGATATTTGTACAATAAATAAAGGCTCGCGCGTTACAACTAAAGCGTAGTGCGCGCAATATCACATGGCGAAGCCAGGATTCTATTCACACAAAATACACCAAAAGACTTTCCAAAGTCCACCGAGCATGAAAAAGAGTAATACTACAAACCTTGTACAACGAGGGACTCTAGAAAGTTGGGGGAGATCTCCGGGACGATCATGAACGAAGACCTGGTCCAAGGGTCTCTTAACTCCCTCCATATTAGGTGGCACTGTCTTCACCTGGGTTTAATAGCACGTGGTCTTGAAGCAGCAATTATAATTGTGTGTTAAAAAGAAGTCAAACCAGTGTTTTACTAAAACCAGTGTTTTACTAAAATCTTTGTTTTAATAGTGAATCCACAGATCGTTCCAAATTGATCACATTTAAATTCACGAATGAACGTTTTCAACATACCATGGGTAAGCTCTTATAGAAAGACTTGTTTGTTGAAACTAAAGTTTTAGTTTTAACAATGTCCCGAATATCGTCCATGTCGATCAGTTCCTCTTTCTTGGGTGCTGGAATACTCTCGCTACCTGGAATGTGTAATTAGTTAATTAGTTGACAATTAAGTAAATGCCTGCGCCTCTGATAAAGAATTGAACTTGTAGACCACATTTGGAGGGATGAAAGTATAATTTAAGAATAATGATAGTAAATACTAATTCGAACATTTAAATTGTATGCAGTACATTAACTATAGTTTACAGATACATATTATTTTTTCCTATGATAATTGATAAGACCTAATACTTTATACAACTTGGTTTTACTTGGTAATTAAACATTAATTTGATATAACGTGGAATTTCTTTGTAGTATAATAGTTGGTATTATAAACTTGGTATTCAGTACTTCAGTAGTAATTTGATAATATTTGAGGATCTAATGAACAAAGGTAGAAAGTGTTGCATGACCTAAACAATAGCGTGCTCCTTAAGCATATATCAACTCTTCTAGCGATAAAATCACAGGGTACTAAATAACAAATTTCAGATGGTCTGTCCGTCCTATCAAATTTCCTGTTTTATCCTGCTATATCATGTAACGTGAATGATCTTATAGAATTTTAGAAAACATACTTTAATTTTCTTAGTTACAATCTTGAGCTCCTTTTGTAGATTTGGTATTGTTAGTCTCGTGTTAGATAATCTTATATTGAATTAAATGTCAAAATAATGCCAGGATGTCGTCTTAACACATGTTTTCCGGCTTTGTGTTGTCAATTTCATTTTACTTTGCTTTTTTGCTGATTTACTCTGAACTTTAAAATAAGACATGGCTTAGATCCGAACCACTCACAAATTTTACACTCACAAATTCTCAAATCAGCTTCATTTTCTGACAGAGGGTCTGGTACATTGCTGAGAGTAGCTCAGGAATGTGAAACTAAATACCTCAACTTCAAGCAGATAAGACCATGTTTCTAATTCCAACCAACTAAACAGATAAGACTTTGCTTTCAATTCCAACAAACAAAGAATCACACGGCTAATATAACATCAGCTGAGAGATAAATAATGTCACGGTAAACTAACGTAAGGAACTTCAACAATTCTTCACGGCATGCCTGTAAGGTGAACTGTATTTTATTTTATTTATTAAGTTGCTGCGTTATTTATTAAGTTGCTGCGTTGCAGGTACAATTTGGCTCCTTGTGCCGTCTTCAGGTACAATATGGCTTCTTGTGCCGTTCTTTTTTCACGTACAATGTGTGGCTCCTTTTTCACATACAGTGTTGCTCCTGATTCGCCAGAGTGAAAGTATGCACTTTTTGACCGAAGTCTTTAAATTTCATCAATCGCGAGGAAATGTTACAGTCCAACAGAATTTCCCAGTATTATTTTGCTTGTAGTACTGCCAAACATATTAAGAATATCGTACGATTCCTCAATACCGCCAGTAATCGGATAGATCATATAGATATATTTATATAAATTTGGATATTCCATTAAAAAACCCTCTTACTCCCTCCCTGACAGTAGTTATGAAGTGTCTACTCCAGATAGCCATCCTCCTCCTCCTCCTCCCCCTCACCCTCACGGTACCGGTCCTAAGAGAGCCAGTACCGGTCCTAAGAGAGCCAGTACCGGTCCTAAGAGAGCCAGAACCACCACCTCCCCACCAGGATCTAGTGGGGAATGCTCGCTGGATGGTAAAGTTCTCTAATGTCAGCATCCTAGCTACACAGTCTTCTTTTCTGGATGGGTTCCCTTTTGGACAGAACAAGGATGTGGCTGATGGACTGTGGAATGAGACCTTGTCAACTGGTGAGTTTGGTTTGATCTCGTGGTAGGGTGGTATTTTAATTGATTTCTTTGATTAAAACCTCCCCGGTCTCCCACTACAACTTCTCCCCTGATAGTGATATAACATCGACCCCACGGCCACCTCCAGGAGTACCCTGTATCTACACCTCTCACCTGGAGATACAAGCACAGGACTTCCTGAAGGACCCCAAAGTTACATTTGGCTACAGTTCCGAGTTTACTCACTGGTGCAATGACAATGGTGTGGATAACGACGATCCGAGATGTGGCAAAGTAATGTTGTCAGGTATTGTACTTAAAGTTTTTAGGCAAATTTTTAGAAAAATACTGTCGAGCACCTCTAATTACCTCCCCCCCCCCCCCCCCCCCCCCCATCACCAATTTAACTTCCACCTTCCGCAGGAGAGATGGAGAAAGTAACTGACGAAGCTGAAGTCACATGGTCGAAATACGGTATGTTCACAAGACACCCTGCAACCAAGAACTGGCCAGTCAGTCACGGGTTTGCTTTCTACAAGCTCAACATACAGAACATCTTCGTGCTGGATTTCTACGGTGGACCTACCATGCACCTTAATGTTACTGAGTACCTTGATTACAAGTTTGATTGGTAGAGATGGAATGTTACTGAGTACCTTGATTACAAGTTTACGTTTGATTGTTAGAGATGGAATGTTACTGAGTACCTTGATTACAAGGGGGGTGATGCAACGTCAATTAATGTCAATTAATGTCAATTAATGTCAATTAATGTCAATTAATGTCAATTAATGTCAATGTCAGTTTTGCAAAATTTTGGAATACTGACATTAATTGACACGATATTTTTCGACCAGAGATTATGTAGTTCTACCATATTTTTAGCACTTTAGAACGTTTATATCATCAATTTATTCACTACTATCACATATGGAAATGTGAAATGTGAATAAATTCAGATCATTAAACAATAAAACTAAAATAATACGGTTTTCCGAAATTAAATTTTCTTAAATGGGCGTGGCCATCCAAGGGCGTGGTTCTCAACATCATCAGAACTTAAAACCCACATTAAACGAAATGCCTTCATGACATTTATATTTGAATAACGAATCTTAAACAGCTAACATTACTCCTTCATACTAAAAAAAACCGATTCTAGATATTTTACCTGTATAAGAAACCAATAAAATATGGGCATGGCCGGTGGGGACCGAAGATGGAAGAGTTGGAAGCTGAAATTTTTTTGGTGGTCTTTGAAGCTAAGGATCAACAGATAAGAACATACTCATAATTATTCAGGACATTTTGTTTTTTTGAACCGGTCTAACTTACATAGACGAGAATATCTTGAATATTTATCGAATTAATGATAATCTCAAATTTCAAGACAAATTAATGTCAAATTAATTGTCAGATTAAGTCAAGTAATGTCAATTATGGTCTATTAATGTCAATTAATGTCAATTAATGTCAAGTATGTCAATTAATGTCTATTAATGTCAATGTCAGTTTGGGGTTTTTATGGAATACTGACATTAATTGACGTTGCATCACCCCCATTACAAGTTTGATTGGTAGAGATGGAATGTTCATGTTAGTGTGATGTTTTAATACACTATTTGTTTCGGAGGGAATTTTCTGTTATTTCAATCGACAATTCTGAAAAAATTATAAATCTAAGGCGAATATTTTTTCGGTGGTACGCTATCTTTATTCTCATTTTTTGTGTCCCAACCTTTTAAAAACTTGTCTTGTTTTTTTTACATTTGAGCTAATTAATTGAATTATTTGATAAAACCTCCTCCACTATAGACTTTTTACCTAATAGTGAATATACATCGAGCCACGGACTCCAGTGATTTTAACCCTAATACCAACCATCTCACTTACAAGCCCGTGTCTTTAACCCCAATAGTTCACATTGCACACTGTTCCTAAAAGGCAATTACAATGTGTGTAGTGGATACAGAATCAGTTTGGCAAAGTAATGATCAGGTACGAAAGATCTTGACATCTCTGTAAATGTGCCAAGAATAAAAGGTCAAATTTTTAGAAAAGACTGTCGAGCCACACCTATTGCCCCAACCCTCCCCCAAGAATGTGACGAAGCTGAAGCCACATGCTTCAGCGAAATACGGTTGTTACAAGAACCCTGGAATAGTCAATCACGGTTTTTGCTTTTCTTCCAAGTTTCACTTACAAGAACATCTTTTATTTCTACTGCACTCCCATTTAATGTTATGGATCTCTACCTTTCTAGGATCTGTCTCTCTTTTTGTTGATCATGTACTGTATTATCATTTATTATACCTACACGTATTGTTATGGTTTCTGTTTCTTTTAGTTTAGTTGGGGGTGTTTACAATAAAAGATGTTATTAATTTGTCTTAAGCGCCTTTTGAGTTATACTTTGGTTCATTTTACCACAGTTGCTTCACATTACTCACAGTCAGCGCTCTGACATGGTTAACCTCTTCCTTGTGTTGTTGGGTTATTCATATGAGCGGGATATTAAACACCTCATTTCATTTCATTTCATTTTCTAATGAATCATGAAATTAGCTAGTGCGACTTTTCAACAAGATAAAGGAGTACAGCCCAACTTTTAAAATATACAACGACAGAGGGATTGTCTGAATGAAGTCAGAACTTCAGATCACTAAATAATCTAAATGCATGGCACACCGCACATGTTTCTTTTTTATATCTTAAATGTGTTGTAGTTAGTATCTCAGTCTTCAAGAGGTACTTAAGTAACCACAGAGACAAACAGAAGAGTGACACGAGCTAGAATATAATCAAAACACATTGACAGAAAGATGTGACATCAGACATGACTGTGACATAACTGTGACATAACTGTGACATGACTGTGAAGTGTGACATAACTGTGACATGACTGTGACATGACTGTGACATAACTGTGACATGACTGTGACATAACTGTGACATAACTGTGACATGACTGTGAAGTGTGACATAACTGTGACATGACTGTGACATAACTGTGACATAACTGTGTCAGTCTACCAGTTACCACTTACCACTGATACAAACTGAAAACTAGATGGAAATACAAAACAATTACCCTCTTTGAAGATAGTTGGTTTGGTGAGATGCCCGAGGTGGAAGCGGTACCAGTTGTCAGACACCATGCTGCCCATACCCAGACCAGGAGGTCTGTCAAACTCAACCACACGATGTGGGGCTGAAACACAAGGTTAAAAACACAAGGTTAGAAACTCAAGGTTAGAAACACAAGGTTAGAAACAAAATGTTAGAAACACAAGGTTAGAAACACAAGGTTAAAAACACAAGGTTAGAAACGCAAGGTTAGAAACACAAGGTTAGAAACACAAGGTTAGAAACACAAATTTAGAAACACAAGGTTCTAGAAACACAAGGTTAGAAACACAAGTTTTAAACAAAAGGTTAGAAACACAAGGTTAGAAACGCAAGGTTAAAACTTTGCATGTCAAAGAACCACAATTTTCTATCTTTAAGATCGGTTATATTATAATATGTTTTTAATTTTCATATCGACATATTATTATGGTGTGACTATTTTCAAAAAATGCCAATTAATAATAAATAGTTCGAAAATTGTGGCAACAGGTGAATAGTGTGGTTCATCCCCGTTCTCTGAATTATATATAAACCAAATACGATCAAATTAAAATCAACTCGATCACCACCATACCAGGCTTCTTCCGGATGGTCCTGAAGTTTCTCCATTGAAGTGAAGGGAAGTCGTAGTAGTTCACCCGAGGTTCAGGGTTGTGGTTAGGGTAGGACTGGTCATACGTGGTGGTACGTGTCATCTCTACTGGGAAACTAACTTGTTAGTAAACGGAAAATGTAAACATCACGTACTAGGAGTAGAGTTGTCTGTTAGTAAACTTTAAATATCACATACTAGGAGTAAATATCACGTACTAGCAGGGACAAAATTAAATCGCGGCATGTGCGGGATCGCGATTTTTCCCATTCTTTGCGACAAATTTTATACGTCGTCTGCTTAACTTGTACCGCGATTTTTGGGCAAAATAATCGCGACTTTCTTTTGTCCCTGCGTACTAGGAGTATATTTATTTGTTTCTAAACGCCATGATACATTATGAAGAACTTAAAAGGGCCTTATTTTTACCAGTACATTTTAAAATTCTATAGGACATTGAAGCAAGCATTGCATACTTTAGCTGAAGTGTGACAGTGTGCTGGCGATACCTGATTTTAAGTTTATCTCTCAACTTCCGATTACTTGAAACAGAATTGCAGTTTTTATTCTTATATTTTAAAGCAAATGGCTCTTTTATTATTATGAAGTATCTTTTAGCTCAACGCAAATAAACAATCTCATTAATCTAATGGTCAAAAACAGAATAAAAATATCAAAACCTTTATATGAGAATCAAATTATGTACAAAATCAAGTCACGGTTCGCAAGTATCAATTTGAAAATATAAAGCATGCATTAAACACATCACTCCTCTGATAATGATATATATTCAGGAAATTCTTTATATATTCCTCCTCGAATATCATAAGTGCTGCACAGCAGTCACATAACTTGAGATGATATTAGGAGATTTACAGCATGCTTTAAAATTGAGCACTGCGGAGAGGCTGGAGTGCTTGTTAAGGTGCACACAATAATACTACTCGCTCTATAAGTGGTATTGTGGGTTTGTTTAACTTACGTTTAACAGTTTTACTTCACGAAACAGTGCATAACTCTGTTTTACTGAATGTGTCACGTGATTTTAATGACTCAATATTATCTTATTATGTGACTACGGAGGACGAGAGAAGATTCTAGAATCTAGAGTCTTTTAACAGCTGGATTTACCGAGACAATTTGCTTTCAGTTTTTTAGATACCAACTGGAACAGTTTTAAACTCAATGAGAACTAGGTATGGGGTCGTTACGTAATCAGCCGAAGGGGGGGGGGGGGGGACGGGGTTTCCAAATGAATACGATAGGGTAATTTTGACACAATAGCTGTGTGTAAAACTGATTACGGAGGGGGGGAGGGGGGGGGTTAAAAATTGTCCAAAAAGTGATTATGTAATATTATGTGAACGACCCCTATCTCGCCGAGCATTTGGTTTACCGCTCAGCATACATGTTTATTGTTGATCGCAGACGACAGGAATTTGATAACCGGTCATAACGGAGTAATTAAGTAATTAGTAATTGGTAATTAATAATTATTACCGTCATTCTGAAGTCAAAAAATGTTTTGAAATAGACATGATGCAAATACTGAGCGATAGCTTAATACGAAACAAAGTTTAAATCACGATGAAAACTTTCACAGCAACAAAACCCTCAAAAATTCAAATCTACAAATTAATCAACATTAATTACTCGTTTAGCTGGAGCTAAGTATGTAATCCTCAAGACTAACAAGTCGTACAAATAAAAACAGAAGTTCGATACAACAAACTGGGCAACCTTGTGTAATTGGTCGGCTTGGAGACGGCTAGTTAAGGCTTTAAGGATAATGACCTGGGCTAACAGCTAAACGTTTTGTAAGATTCATTGTTCACATAAGTGGTTAACAAGCGACAATGGGATTGATTCAGTAACCAATCTGAAAAGTTGGGGTTTATTTAAGGTACCCCCCCCCCCCCCCCCCCCCCCCCCCCCCCCCCCCCCCCCCCCCCCCCCCCCCCCCCCCCCCCCCCCCCCCCCCCCCGTGCTATCGGAGGCAACCAAAGGGTCTAAAAGTTAATTTTTGAATCCATTTTGCCTGGTTAATGGTTCACTGCTTTTCGTTTTGTCCATGAATTCCCTTTTTCTGATCAGGATTTTATCGCTCTAGTCAGGAATTTCCAGTTTCTCTTCAGCAGTCTGAACAAAATCCCCGTGGCCGTTGTGATCAGGAATTTCTCCAAGCTCTTCAGGAACCTCCATTTTCTGTTCAACTTGATCGCTGTGCTCAGGTATGTTCCTCTTCTGATCAGGAATGTTTGTAGCAACATTCCTAGGAGGTCGAGGTGCAGGAAGGAGCAGTTTCTCCAGATTAGCAGACGGTTGCTCGACAAAGAGAAACAGTAACACTCCACAAAAGTTTACAGTTGCTATAAGACCAAGGAAGATGACCACCTGAAAACAGGAAATGTTAACTAAATGTGTCACGTGACGTGATGACGTCATCACGACAGTATCCTTCACTTAATGTCGCGTGACATCATCATTACAATATCATTCACTAAATGTCACATGACGGTATATCATAAGATCGCCACGCTGTTTCGTGACGTCATCACACTTTTTCGTGACGTCATTACACTATCACGTGACGACATCACACTATCACGTGACCACACTAACCGACTGAAAGTCAGGACTGTAGCTGTAAACATGACGGAGTTGAGCCACCCAGGCGATGTTGATCCCGTAGTGTAGAAGATAGACAGAGTATGTGAGACGAGACAGCGGTAACCACCCCCTCCAGCTCAGGAAGTCATTTATAGGACCTGTCAAACACAATGTTATGTTAAACTTACTTGCTCATTGACCATTGTAAGAATATTTACCCTGTCATGTGATGCCCAAATAAGGGCAATAATCAAACTCGTCCGTTTGTTTAATAATTGAATTTTGGCGCAGACGTTGGTCACACAAATCTCACAAACAAACACAGTCATAATTAACTGTTAAAGTTAAGTGTAAAATCTATAAATTTAAATTCCTCGAACCTCCGAGTCCAGCCTGACAGAGGAATATCTGTGTGAGTAGAGCACCAGCCCAGCCCACCCTCCCGAATATAGCATACGGTATTGTAACTCCCGGGGATTCTACTGTCGGCGCTATGGAAGTTGTTGGTTAATTGGTTAATTGGTAAATTGGTAAATTAATTAATTAGTTAACTAGTTAATCTAACTAATTGCTTGCATAACTAAATAAATAATTGTCATAATCCAAACAAAACATTTTTTAAACATACCAATCCCTGCATCGTTATGTGTCCCGAATATTACCGCGTACTCTATAGCTATTGTAACAGCCCACAACTGTACTGACAACACAAGCTTCGTCAGCTGAAACCAAGGTTATTTTTATTATCATTATTATTAAATTATTTGCATTTTAAATTGTCGGTATAAAGTGTGACATTTATTTAAATGATAGGAAAGGTAGTATATCCAACCAAAATGACACAGTGTTCTTTCGGACTGATCTTATTATAATTTGTTCACGTTAATCATCAATTCATACTGGATACTTCATCTACATACCTTCGGAAATGATAATTATGATCAATAAACATGATTATATTGTATAGATATCATGTTATAGATATCTAGATAACATGTATAGCCATGCTGAAGCAAATTACCTGATTTCAACATTTAATTATAGACCGACCATTTTGTAAAATCATAACTTCCAAAGTTCCAACAATCAATCAATCCACAATATTGAAATACATTCAGACTCAAATTAGTTACGTTCAATTATTTTAATCTTTTCGAGAATGGTTCGTTTAACAGTTTCGATGACCCTAATGGGTTCAAAAGGTTTTATCACATGTGCAAAAATGAATATGATAATAATAAAAATAACACCAATACTAAGATAAAACTAATACTCAGCTGCAGCGTTTCTTGAGATAAGCAACCAAGACATTTATTTGGAAACTTATGCGTTGAAAAGATATCGGTTTAATACGGATGTGAAGAAAGGGTTGGTACGCTGAAATTTACCCTAAGGAAGGCGGAAGCTGGTGGCAGGCCCTATCACCAGGTGGGCCATTCCTCTTTTTTGTTTTTAGATTAGGAGTTATAAATCATAGCCCACAATATTAATAGTTCTTTTATTCAAATTTCTGATTGTTTCTGAATAGACTCAGTGAAGACAAATTCTAATGGAAATAAATAGCTGAATAACGTATCGACATTTCTACGTCATACTCATATTCTCAAATTATTTGTTATATAGTAGTGTTGAAAGTATTAAAACAGTTTTAATACTTTCAACACTACTATATAACAAATAATTTGAGAATATGAGTATGACGTAGAAATGTCGATACGTTATTCAGCTATTTATTTCCATTAGAATTTGTCTTCACTGAGTCTATTCAGAAACAATCAGAAATTTGAATAAAAGAACTATCAAATCATGAGACTCAAAAACACTACACGAATCCACCAGATTCCACAATATTAAATTAAGAAGATCAGGAAGAAAACATTATAACTTTTATGGACAAGGGCCAATGCAACTAAAATGATGGTTTTTTCGAGTGAAAACTGAGCAGTTAAAATACACATTTTTTAACAGCGAGTTTATCTGAAAGTCTGTAAATATGATTGTAAGAATCTCTTCATGAGTTGAATGCGATATCATTTTTAAGAAACCTTAATAATTAAGTTAACATCATCAAATCCAGCGGATAATATGAGTATAATTGAGTTGGTAGTTTGATATGTAGGTTTACAGTTGAACTTAATGCGGTTTTCGGTATGTATTTCAGGATATGGGGTGCCTGGGCCTTATATCATGTTTCAAAAATGCTGTTGTCACCTGTAACATGTAAACAAGTTACGAGCCAGGTACTAAATTAAAGTAAGAAGTAATTTAGGGGAAACAGAATAAGGCTATCAAATTAAAAAAGAGGCAAGAATTTCAATTTTTAGTTGGCCAAGAGCCATTTCCGTATTCAAATTGTCACTATCTTACAGTTAACTGGAGTCATATATGTGAAACGTTATTAGATTCCCCCTGAAGATAACGTGAATATAAGGTTACCTCAAATACACGAGCTAGTTTATGAAGGAGCACGTCTTATTTGAGAAGTCTTTGCTGAGCCGCGCATCACTGATTTTACCAGAGGCAAAAGCGCTACAACAAGACTATCGATATGAAATAGAAGGTACAGATTCTTATCTCTTATCTGCTGAAGTGACGTAGTTAGGTGCATTCCCTCTTGCTAGTGCCTTGGGTTGTAACATTTACATCTGTTACAATACTCAGCCCATATCAAGTATGTAAGTTATGGAAATTGATTATTTAAATGTAGTTATTATAATTAACTATTTAAATGCAGAGTGAAGACATTGTTTGAGATGATCTAGTACTCTAGTAGAAATGATACAGCCAATGATAAATTAGACGTTTAAATAGTGTAGACATTAGACAAGTCTCCTAGAAACTTAGAAAGGTAGAAAGCGTGATATTAGTACTGGACCCTACAAAATCTTTACAGACAGCTTCAAGTGGTTATCTATACTGGTTTTTAAAAATCAACAGCGCTTTGCATACATTAATTTCAAGCAATATCTGCATTAATTTCAATCATTTTCAAAATAATTTCCCTGTTATTCACAGTCGAATAATAACAAAACTTATGAATCATTGAATATGATTAATGATCGTCTTGAATAACATTGCAGTTTTAATAACTTTGATTCATTATAACTCGTTGGGAGCCAACAACTAACAACCATAACAAAAACACGTGTCAATAGTCACATGTCTGCTGACTGGTCACGTGTCTTAAACACACTAACAGATAAATTAGCATTTCACGTGTTATTTGATTGCGAGTTGCGCTAGATCAAGATACAATACAACATGTCACATTAGTCATCACCCAGACAAATGTCACGTGCCAATCACATGTCACGTGACTATCTCTCAACTAACTGGTTTCATTTTAGCAAGTTGTTCCATTCTCTTGGCGTACTTATGGTAGAGCCAACCCCCGAATATGCCCACAAGATAGGGAATAAAACGGAAGTAGGGTTTTGTGTAGTAGTACTGAAACTCTTTACCGTACACTCCTGCCCTGGTTATATGGGGTCACGTGATGTATCACATGTAATATCATGTGATGTATCACATTACATATGATCACGTGATGTGATGTCCATTATCCATTGAAATGTAATATATGGTGAATAATGAGGAACTCCAGGGTGGCCCATAATGAATAATCAGCTATTCGTAGGGATGCACTGGTAATATTATTCAAGTAAAGTAGTGATTATAGACTAACAAAGTGTGTAGAATAGTTAAAATTAAATACTGTTTGGTGTACTGTACCTGAGTGGGGAGGTGGCGAATTTGTAGTACCAAGTAGCAACACCAGCAGCCAACATGGACACGAGCACAGTCACCCACAGTACAAGGTTACCTGAAGATGGTGCCACGTGTCATATCACGTGATATTATATCACGTGTCATTAATCATTATCCATTATCCATAAAGTAAAGTAAAGTAAGTAACAATATAAAGTTACCCTAATCTTACAAGCTATAATCTTGATTGACCAAGGCTTCTCCTTTCCCAAAACTCCGCGATAAATCGGGGTTTTATAGTATTATTATAAGTATTGCTCAGTTGGAACTACGTTTAGATAAAAAGGGGCGCACTATAAATAAAAGTGTCAGAGCTTACCTAATACGGGTGATTTCCATAGCAACCATATAAAAAGTGGGGCTACTATAAAGTATCACAGCTTACCTAATACAGGTGATTTCCATAGCAACCATATAAAAAGTGGGGCTACTATAAAGTATCACAGCTTACCAAATACAGGTGATTTCCATAGCAACCATATAAAAAGTGGGGCTACTATAAAGTATCACAGCTTACCTAATACAGGTGATTTCCATAGCAACCATATAAAAAGTGGGGCTACTATAAAGTATCACAGCTTACCAAATACAGGTGATTTCCATAGCAACCATATAAAAAGTGGGGCTACTATAAAGTATCACAGCTTACCTAATACAGGTGATTTCCATAGCAACCATATAAAAAGTGGGGCTACTATAAAGAACTGCATGTCATTAGCCAAGTACCAGGATTGTCCCACACATTTAGCTGGCTGGGAAATATGCGGGTAATTATCATCTAATTAGTATGATCAATTAGGCTAATTAGTGTGATCAATTAGGCTAATTAGCGTGATCAATTAGGCTAATTAGCGTGATCAATTAGGCTAATTAGTGTAACAAATTAGGCTAATTAGTGTAACAAATTATGCTAATTAGTGTAACAAATTAGGCTAAATAGTGTGACTAATATGTAAGTTAATTACCTAATTGTATATTGACTAGCTTACAATCGGTCCCTAATTTGTTGGTCAAGTGCTATCAAAAAATTAAAGTTCACATAAAGTTCACAGAATAAATAAAAACTAAATTTTTAAATAATGTAATGAGGAAAATGTAATCTACTAAGTCTAAAAGTATTTTAAGGTTAACATTTAAATAACAGCTTACCGAGGACCAAGGTAAAAAGTTGTTGATATAAAGTAGATTAGCCCACCACCATTTCTTACAACCCTCGTATCCCTGTGCGATAATTAAATAATTAACTGTTCATAATTATAAGTATAGTGTGATTTAATTAGTCTAATTATATTAATTATTGAGAGACTTGATTACACACATCATTACTTGTGTAACAAAAAAATCCCGACGCAGCAATTGAGAGACAAATTAGAGAAAAATTAGAGAAAAATTAGAGAAAAATTAGAGAAAAATTAGAGAAAAATTATTCATTCACCACATAAAGAAACTATTCTAAAAACTAACAAGTGTAAAGTTATCAGCAAAAGGACCAGTGATATACTGTCTGTAGAGGAACCCTTGTATCAGTATCACCATCAAATACGGTATAGTAAGTCGTATGTACCTTAAATAATAACATTAGTATCAAATACGGTATAGTAAGTCGTATGTACCTTAAATATTATCATTAGTATCAAATAGGGTATAGTAAGTCGTATGTACCTTAAATAATATTATTAGTATCAAATAGGGTATAGTAAGTCGTATGTACCTTAAATAATATTATTAGATCGAGAGTTAAATAATAACATTAGTATCAAATAGGGTATAGTAAGTCGTATGTACCTTAAATAATATTATTAGTATCAAATACGGTATAGTAAGTCGTATGTACCTTAAATAATAACATTAGTATCAAATACGGTATAGTAAGTCGTATGTACCTTAAATAATAACATTAGTATCAAATAGGGTATAGTAAGTCGTATGTACCTTAAATAATATTATTAGTATCAAATACGGTATAGTAAGTCGTATGTACCTTAAATAATAACATTAGTATCAAATACGGTATAGTAAGTCGTATGTACCTTAAATAATAACATTAGTATCAAATAGGGTATAGTAAGTCGTATGTACCTTAAATAATATTATTAGTATCAAATACGGTATAGTAAGTCGTATGTACCTTAAATAATAACATTAGTATCAAATACGGTATAGTAAGTCGTATGTACCTTAAATAATAACATTAGTATCAAATACGGTATAGTAAGTCGTATGTACCTTAAATAATATCATTAGATCGAGAGTTGAGAAAGTGCAGATAAAATTACTATTCATCCTTGGTGTTGTTTGGAAAAGGTCCAAAATTTGGAATTATGTGATTTTTTTTCTGTGAATATTCTCTTAGAAAGATCACGAAAAGTTGGAAATGTTGATCTGAATATTATACCTGTGAACGTAGTAACCGACAGCTATTCCTCTGAAAGTTTTCCCTTTCTCAAAGTTCTTGATAAGAAGAAAAGACACAAGAAAGCCACTGAAAATAGAAATTGTTGACAAATTTATGATCAAGATCCCATCATCCTCTATTGAAAAATAAATGTGACTGATTGATTTAGAAGGTTAATATTGGCCCTTTTATGTTACCCATTTTGTAGTGTTGTAGGGCGAATGTGTGACATTGCTTGTATAAAAACTAGAATTGTAAAACTTAGATATTCTTAAAAATTCTTGAAAAAGTACCTCATCACAAAGAAACTATCCACAGAAGGGAAGCCGTTGAGAATTATATCAAAAGAGCGTCTTTTTCCTTTCACGAATGCTTGGTACGCATCTCCTGTAATCAGAAGCTAGTTGATCTGAGAACAGTCAGTGTGTATAAACACAGAAATATGGAGATGCTGTGAACTTGTTGTGAAATGTGTAGATTTAAATGTGTAAATGTGTAGATTAATTAAATAAATAGGTACGGTGGAATTAAGTTTTTCTAGGGGTACCTTGAGAAGCGAGTAGAGGGACGAGAAACATGTGGGACAAAAGCACCCAACCGATACTAAGACTTCTGATCCCTGAAAATGTGATGTTATAAACATGTTATAACATGTTCTATGTTATAAACATAGAATTTGAAATAATTCTGATAAGGTATTCTGTTCAGATCTAATAGACAAAGCCCAAAGGGTGCTAAATCGTTTGTTGATATTAAATAAGTTTCTGAAAATGAGCTCAAAATTACATTTTAAATTAAATTATTGGTTACTCAGAACATAGTTGCCGATCACTGGAATTGTTGGAGCTAGCATAGTTATAGGTTAAAAGTCAACTGGTAAAAATTGTAATATTCTAAAATATAAAAGTAATAATTGAATAAATTCAATAATAATATGTATAACTTAGTAAACTTAAGATAACTAAAATAATTATTAAATAATAACTTACCGTTCATACAAAGTACTTGGCCAGGTTTTACGGTCGTGTCCATTAAGATTTGAATGTTCCTCTGTAAGGAGAAGCACTTCAACACTGAAACTGAAACAGAAAATTGTTTATTACTGACTCTAGGACCTGGGTTGCTGTAGGATTAGTGTAGGATTAGTGTAGGATTAGTATAGGTTAAGTGTAGAATTAGTGTAGAATTAGTGTAGGATTAGTGTAGGATTAGTGTAGGTTAACTGTAGATTCACTGAAAGTTAACTGTATTTTGTCCAGTAACTAACCTGAAGTTTCCGAGATTTTATCCAAAACCACGTGACTACTTCTAGCACTAGGATAGAAGCGATACAAAGCGTTCCTAACACCGACCAGAGGCTCGTGTCCTTCAGACGCTGTGTCTTCTGGATCTACCCCTGTATCGTATAGGTTCTCTGTAACCTCGAACCCTGAGTCAAGTAGTTCATGGTTAAAATTAGAAGTAGTATCAAATGTACACAGCAATAATATAATTGAATAACTTTAATCAGCTGTAACGGATATTCAAATTATAAGTTCTATTAACTGTTAATAAAATACACTTCTGATGAAATTCGAAACATTTACCATGTAATTAATTAATAATTATGTATTGAAAAATTATTGGATAGTAATAAGACAATGTAATGATACAGATGGTCTTTGAAAATTAATTATGCTGGAATTAATGTGATAGACTTACTCCTAACTACGATCATTTGGCGTTAGGACACTATCTTGCGGCATTTATTTTAAAATATAAATTAATAATTAACAGATAAAATAAGCTAGTAAAGCAGTCACAAGAAACTATTTCAAGAACGCGATTTAAATCGAAATGAACAGTGAATAAACACGAACCTGCTCTAGTGTCGTCTTCATCTGCTTCTTTTTGGCAAGATGCCTGAACATCCAACAAAATGTTAGCATCGTCAGCTGTCTTGTTTCCGATCACTATGTTTATCTCTAAAAAATCGATCCAATGAAATTCTATTCTGTTCTTGCGAAATTTCCCATTTTTACATAATTAGAACATCCTGAATTATACGTATTTATTCATGTCTTGGAAAGTTTCTGTGCAAAGTTTTGTGAGTATCTGAAAATTTGCAGGTACCGATCCAAAAATGTCCGTAAATGACTGGACGAACAAGCTGCAGGAGCAAATGATAGCTTGACTTTACCTTCAGTATTCTCTTTGACCACTACACTTCTTTTCTTATTATAAGCAACTTCTGGTTCGTTATCTCCAGCCTCTCCGCACTGTACTTCCTTAACAAACCAGCTGATGTACTTTTTAAGTGGTCCACGTACTGATCCCAGTGTGGTGAGAGTGATGAAGAATATACAAAATACCCTGAAATATAATAATAATAATAGAGAGCAAGACAAGATACTGGCTTACCAGGACCTAAAAAGAGAAATTAAGAAGAACTGGAATTTACGAAAGGTTACAATTGTCCCAGTGGTGGTAGGCGCTTTAGGAACTGTCACCACAAACTTTCGTAAGCACCTCGACGCAGTCCACTGCAATCTGAGCATCTCTAATCTTCAGAAGACAGCTCTGCTCGGATCAGCCAGAATTCTCAGGATGGTCTTGGATATTTAGTTGAGTGTTTAAAACACTGTAGGTTTTCTTTTAGTTTTAGTCTATTTTTTACTGTATTATACACTTTTTGCCTGGTCCTCCTGTATCTCTCCCCTTGCTCCGCAAGCCCTGTCTCTTGTTTATACAAGTTCTTTAAACTCATATCATTGTACATATCGGGAACTTTGTGTATTTATTAAGTATACTGTATTGAAAATTGTGTCAGATTTGTGTAATGATTATCTTCTGGACTTTGTGATATACAATTGTTGCAGTTGTTTCTCTTGTTTTTCTTCCCTTGCTCTGCAAGCCCTGATTCTTGTATAAACATTGTGTTTATAGTATTTTTTATATTGTATTTATTGTGGTAAATTGTGGTTCAGATTTCGGTATTAGTAATTATAGGTGTTTGCTGAATTACTGTATTATACACTCTGTTGCCAGCTCTTGGGTGTCCCATTTCTTGCCCTGCAAGCCCTGTTTCTTGTCTATACAACATATTATAATTGTGTAATAAACTTTGATTGTAGCGTAGGATTGTTTGAATTTCTATTTGCTAATTCATATAATATACACTTTATGATTGTTTCTCCCATTTTTCTTCCCTTGCATTGCAAGCCCTGTCTCTTGTAAAAACAACCACTTTTGTAGATACACACAGTCTCTACGTCTTTATCCTCTGGTCCCTAGGGTCAGCTGACTCCGGGCCATAGGAAAATTACCGATTGCCAATGTTTGATGCATAGGCAGTCGAGACCTCTTATTGAGACCCGATATAATAATAATAACAAAATTTATACATCGCTTTATAGCCAAAAAGAACTCAAACTTCAAAGATTCAGTTCAAGCAATTTAAAGCGACTCATGAACAATGAACATGTACATAAGAACCTAGAATTTTATGAAGTATGGGTTTTATGATAATATGGTGACTTATCAGTTCTTTTGTTCAAATATTAGAAATTGCTTTCACAAGGAGACAAAATGATTTGAAAGAAAATGAAACATGGAACCATCGTGATGATGATCGTTTATTTTAGTAAACTTAAAACTTATTTACAAAGTAAAAATCATAAAGTTTCGCTTACGTTCCAATATAGGCTCCAGCGTCATATGATATGGGATCTTGACAAGTCGTCTTTAATGTATACTCTGCAGAGTGAAAACGAGCGTGAGTGTGATGTGCGAGGGTGATGAATAGAGAACGAAAATGAATCCTGGTCTTTATAAGCTTTTAAAGCGATATTGATGCAAATTATCGATGATGCACTCTTTGATGCAAGTTTGCAGACTGTGATAATGTTAAATTTCTTATTGTGGTATTACTTACCAGGCTTTACGTAATATTTATCAGAGGCTGTGTCTGCGGTTGGGAACTCTATTTGTGTCACTTTCTTAGTCCACAAAGTGCTCCAATTACCAGTGTATTCAGTGCAGACACCGTCCGAGAGCGCAACATCCAGAACTGTTACATCATTACACACTACTTTCAGTCCAGGTTTCTCTGTTTTGGTGATGTTCCAAACCCGGTCTTTAGCAACGGGAGGCGACACAGGAAACAGTTTATAGTCCCCGCAATTTCCGATCTTATATTTAAGAGTAGTTTTGAAACTGACAGCAAAATATCCAGATAAGTCTTCCAGCTCGTCGTAGAAGTTTACCATGAGCGTATCATTTGATAACCGTGTGCTGTTTGTTTTGATTCGAAGTGGGATAGTTTCAAGATCATATTCGATCAATGTGTCGCGTTCTACAGGCTTCCACCCTAAAAGTATTTTGATCATTAAACCTATAACCACGATTCAGAAATTTTACGTGCTTTTAATCATCCCGATTATGATATGTAAATGGTTATTGCAACAAAATTTAATTGAATTTATCAAGATAATTTTAAGTCAGTGAAAAAGAAAAGCAAGCTGAAAACCTAGTATCCCAGTGATTTTATGCACAATTGGATATTTTCCAATTGGAACATATTTATCGACAAGAGGTGTAATGGATTCGTCCAGAATGTTAATAAATACATCAATGAAATCGTTTCTGCAATCTGATGGAAGGCAGGAGGTCCATATTAACATTGCTGAAGTAGTATTCTGAAAGGAAACATTTTAGAGAGCATCCATAAATTTGTTTGAATCAAATTTAATGAATATTTTCAATATGTACAACCCCGATTTACTGCAGAGATTGGGGATATGTAACAGCCATTGTAAATCTGGGTCCAGGGGGAAATAAATGGACACAGTAAATCACGACTTGCAGTAAATCAGGGTGTGAAAATCGGGGTCTTACTGTAATATGCATCAAATAAACCACCAACTCCTCCACCAAATAGAATTTGGCGACTTAGCTCTGGGTTATAAAAATTTAACATACAGACAAAGGAACAAGCCCAGACGTTTTACAAGGTAGCAGCCCAACTGTTTTTAACTGCATACACAGATCATAGCTACCCCACCAATTTAGATTGCCAAGAAGAATTCCACTTGCAGGCTTTCCAATAGCATCAAAAACTGAAAATGGAAAGTTTATTATTTGGGGGCTATCATTATATTGATAGGGCTATAATATGTCTAACTTTGACAAGGGAACAATAGTCAGCAGTACAAGCAGATACCGCCACCGGTAGAGCGTCAGATACCACTGCGGGTAAGGGAATGGTCCGGTGCCATTTAGAGGAATTATATTATCATCGAGGCCATAATAGTTCCTAATATCATAATTTTTCCCGCTGATATTTCACAATACTGGGAATGTGACCTCTGAAGAAAGATATGATCTCAAAATTAACACATGACCAGATCATAGTGCTGATCACATACTGTGTAGAAGGCATTTTGTTCCAAGTGAAAGGCACTACGGCAGCTGATAGAGGACGTGGACAGGAATGAGGAAGGTGATGTGGTGTGGCAGACCTATCAGTGGAGGGAAGCCTTCTGGTGAAGCAGTGGTGCTTTTTCTAGATCTGTTGCAACCACCGCTGAACCTAAACAATGAGACGCCACCCAGCAACTCCAGAGCTACTCTTTGTGCAACAGCTTCAACAATGTCAACATCCTTTGAGAGGATATACTCTTTTCTCAAGACCAGATGCAAGGAGGATGACGGGGTGGAGATAATTATCACGAAAACTTGTCCCTATTCAGCTCACTGGATGTCAAGTTATATGTTCCCATTCTCCAAGACACTTCTAGACTTTAGAGAAGTCCTATGGCTGTTAGGAAATATCCAGCAGCAGCCTTCTTTGAAGGTGTGGTCACTGGTCATGGGTGGAGCACAGTTTTATCTCCATTCTGTCGGGGTTGGAGCAAGCTGCAATCACCATGTGACCAAAATCATGCAATCAGGTTGACAATTTAGTCCAGATAAGCACGTAACCAGATCTGCTGCACTCATTGCACTCTTAAAACATAACATTTTTTAACAATTTTTGTTAAAATTAAGTGATTAATATAACGATTCATGGTCAAGACAGTAATGCATTATATCTAGTTTAAGTATCAATGAAGTTTATTACATGGAACACTTGTTTTTGCGTCACCAACAATCTGTTTCAGCTTAGATTTGCAGAGTGTGTTTGGTCCTTCCTTCAAATACTTGTAAATGCCTTTAACTACCCTATCACCTTCATAGGGTTTGGATACATCTTGACTTTTGACGATGTCAAAGAGGAAAAGAAACCCAACCAGGTAACAGCATTTCATGACCTAGAAAAATAGAGTATGACTAATAGATTTCTTGCTCATTAAGTTTTGATACTTCAAAACAACTATATAACAAATTTCGGATATGATCATAGAGAACCAAACTGGACATTATTGGGATGGAGCGAATTTATCATTTCTTTTCGACTGTTCAACAAATCTCACTTGTATATTTATGAATTATCTATATCTGTACTCTTCAATTAACTTCAATTAACAACATTTTAATACTTTCAACACTACTATATAACAAATAATTTGAGTTTCAGGAAGCAATGTCAATGGCGGGCCAAAAGGGGCACGAGGCCCTGGCCAGTAAGAAGCTCAAGAAGACTCTAAAGCCAAAGAAGAACTCTGTTATACTTCCTGTATTTGAAGACGGCTCGTGTAAACAGTGTGGGAGTAATGACACTGTGAATGAATCGATTATCTGTAATGTCTGTGATGGGATGTTTCACTCCGCTTGTCGCAAAAAAACCGGTGTTCAATTTCCTGAGTCCCCCAGCTCAAGATTTATGCGAGATTGCGAGCCGGACTCATCGCACAAAATTTGTAAATAAATGAGGAAACAGAAAAAGTTTAACTTAAAAGTTGAGGTAATTAGGAACTTAACATGTATTTTATACTCTTAACGTGTATTTTATCACTTGTTTATAGCGTGAAAACTTCGACGTAACGCGCGCGAGATTTTTGCCAGATTTTTGCGAGTTTCGTTTAAATCTCATAGCTAGGCTCACGATATCGTGAGATTCTCCGCGAGATTTCGGCACCCTCTTTCAGCACTACATATTCGGTCGCGCGCTTGCATTTTCATCGCTTTTCAGCGTGTTTATTCACTGTACTGTCTAAGTCTTAAAGGATACTAGTTGTTATAAGATCAAGATTCACAGTGGTTACTATAGTTACCATGGTTACCATTAAAGGAGGTACTATTCCTGGCTACAGTCTACTCAATCTTTCTCAGAATATACTTGATACTGCCATAGGCATAGTGAATTAAAGGTTTGAGAAAGGGTCTCTTCAACTGGAGAACTGACTTATTAATCCAGGCAGGTAATTAACTCTGGATCCTCATCACATTGATTCCATTCTAAATTCTAGCCATAAACAAAACAAACATTACCAGATAACTCCGTTTACAATAATTTGACATGTTCCAGTGTGAACGAGGCCTTCCCCGGACAAATCCTTAAATGCCAGTCTTCTCTTGATCTTAGTTCTCTAGATGAAGTACGAACAGTATAATCTATCGGATAACGTGTATAACAAGGTGCTCTGATGATAATTTTAGTAAAATAATTAATAATTGCCAAAAGAAAGACCGCTGACGAGACTCGAACTCTGGTCAACTGCTTGGCGAGCGCGCCCTAAACCATCGGGCTACGTGAGGCTTACCATAATTACAATATGTAACATAATATAATTCATAAAAATACGCACGTAAATTTTTCGTTATTTATGGATCCAATAACAGTGACATACTTTTCGCTTACAAAGGGACTCGCGAAATCTTTTTAAATAGAAAATAATTAGTGGGGCAAGAAATCTTGCAGGCTGGAGGGGGGGGGGGGGGGGGGGGTGGGTGGGGAGTTCATTTCGCCACTGCACGTGACACGTGAAAATCGCACTTCTAGTGTCAAAATCCAATCTCATCGCACTTTTTTTAGAATCTTGATAGGGGCTGAGTCCATTTGTACAAATACCTTCCGTGCTAAGGTGAGACCTATGATTGCAGATCAAGCTCGTTGGGGTTATTTTCTATTCGTATGTGAAGATTGCATTTCACTGGTAGATGACACCCGTTCTTCCAAAAACTTTTCTCCACCTGTACCATCTGTGGTAGATGCTCCTAAGTCCAACCCTGTGATGAGTCATGATAATGGTCATGATGAAGCTCCTGATATTCTCTCCAAAGTTGAGCATCTGATGAGGGCAAACAACTCTGCCCTTCTGGAATCATTTCGTGAGGAAATGCATAGCATTATTGTCGACAAGCTTGCTCTATGTGCTCCAGCCTCTGAACATTCGCTTGAAGAGCGAGTTTCTAATGTTAACAAAGAAAACTTGCAATCCCGGTCTCCAAGTGCACTGTCCTCTTACAGCAATTTTGCTGAAGCTCTTGTAGGTGGTGCTAGTTCTCCTCAGCCAAGTAAAGTGTCCGCTAACATAAATCAAATTAGCAAGGAAAGTAAAGAGATATTGGTGCTAGATAGTCCCTTTCCTTCTGCTGATATTTCATCTGCTCCAGATGTTCTATCTGAGTTGCTCTATGACACACGATTGATTGCTATGAAAACTAGCCTACTAGATTCACATAAGAAGATAACGCTAGTTTTTCCATCTTCATCTGATAGGCTGAAGGCTAAAAGTCTTATTGAAAACTCTGATGTCATTAAATTACTTGGTTTTCATCACTCTCTCACAGAAAGCTCTCCCTAAGGTCACTGTGTCTAATATTCCCAGTCAGATATTCGAAACCATTGATCGCCATGGTTTGCCCGCTGAAGATTTCCGGTTACAGACTAAAAAAGCTCTTCTAGATATTATTCCCTTGAAAAATCCTGGACTTAAACACTTGCTAGATAATGAGCATTTCTTTGAAATTGTGTACATAAATGTTGGACTAAGGTACACTACTGCTGGGATCAAGGTCTCTCCTCAGATTAGGAACCTATTGACAGGAGACGGCAAAATCTTCATTCTGAATAGTGCTTGTCCTGTAAAGGATAGATTCATCATCAAGCAGTGCTATAATTGTCAGAAGCTCCACCATATTTCCCAAAATTGTCCTGAGAAAGAAACTCTGGTTTGTATGTATTGCAGCGGTAGGCATAGAACATCAGACTGTCATTACAAGGAAGACCCTAGCAGACATAGATGTCGCAATTGCAGTCTGTCAAAAGATCCAAGAATCTCATCTCACTGTAACACTCGCCATTCCAGCTCAGAGCAGTGCCCCATCATGCAACAGGCATTGAATCGGTATAAACAAAACATCCTTACTTCAAAAAACTAGCTACAAACTCTAAGTCAGAATGTCAGAGTATGAACTTTGCCCTGTTCAATTGCAGATCCATCTGCAATAAAACTGCTGGAGTCATGCAATTGCTTGAAGACTTTGATACTGATATTTGCTGTGCTACAGAAACTTGGCTGAGAAAAGATGACAATGCTAAGTTTTCTGAGATGAAAGAACTTGGATATTCCATTCATAGCCAGCCAAGAGCTGGGCGGGGAGGAGGTGTTGCTGTTCTATATAAGAAAAGTCTTAAAGTGACTCCTCAGAAGTGCAAGCGATTCAAAACGTTTGAGTCTTGTGAATGTACCTTCAAATCATCTTCTGGAGATATACTACGAATTGTTTCAATTTACCGTTCTGGCACCTCCACATCTCAGAGTGCTAACATCCCCCAATTTCTAACTGACTTTGAGCAACTCTTGGTTGATTTAGTAGACAAACCTGGAAAGCCCTTGATCATGGGTGACTTTAATATCCACATTGAAGACGTAAATGATTCAGTTGCACAAAGGTTTAATTCACTACTTAAGTCTTGTGGGTGGGTGCAACAAATTTCAGCTGCAACACACAGAGATGGGGGCATATTAGATCTTGTAATTACCAGGGATGGTTCTTTTACTCACGATTGCATTGAAGTTCTAGATCCTGTCATTACTGATTCTGGTACATCGTCTGACCACTACTTTGTTGCTTTCAATTGCAATGTATCTCCAGCACCCATAGGCACTCTAGAACCAATTACTTACAGAAACATTGCTTGCATAGACCTAGATGCTTTTGTTGAGGATATTCTTAAGTCAAAACTATGTGACACTGATTGCTTCAATGACCTCGATAGTGCAGTTGATATCTATGAGTCTGAGTTGAGCAGTATTTTGGACAAGCATGCTAAAGAAAAAACTTTCATCCCAAGAAAAGATCATAACGCTGAATGGTGGTCTACACACTGTCAACAAGCAAAAGCAATGAGAAGAAAGATTGAGAGACTGTATCAAAAGAATCATGATTGCCCAGATTATAAACGACTGTACAGGAAAGCATCAGAGAGAGCATCCTCAGTCATTGTATCCACAAGAGATCACTTCTACAAAACAAGGTTACAAGATAGTGCAGGTGATGCTAAAAAGACTTATTCCATCGTTAATAAGTTGCTCAATAAAGAAAAAGTTAGTACTACTACACCTTCTTGCTCTTCAAATCTTGAGAGTGCTAACAACTTTGCACAGTTCTTTAAATCAAAGGTCGACAACATATACAACAACATTTATTTAGAACAACAATCGCAAGATTCTCCTAACTCAGATGAATTTGTTCCTCTTTCTAATAGCCCAAAGATAGTACAATTCCGTCATGTGTCTGATGAAGAACTAGTAAGCATCATAAAGAATATGTCTAACAAATTCTGTGATCTTGACCCCATACCTACAAAGATTCTCATCAAGTGTCTCCCAGAACTCCTTCCTCTGATCTCATTTATAGTCAATGAATCATTAGTTAAAGGTGAGTTTCCTATAAAACTTAAGGAGGCTCTCATTCGTCCAAGTTTGAAGAAACGTGGCCTTGACGGTGAATCTCTATCTAACTATAGGCCTATTAGCAATCTCTCATTCTTGTCAAAAATCATTGAGAAGTGTGTATCTATACAGCTCACCAGTTATCTTGAGGATAACAACTTGCTTTCTAAAGTTCAGTCCGGCTATAGGAAGTTTCATAGCTGTGAAACTGCAACAACCAGAATCCATAACGACATCTTGATAACTATTGACAAGAAAACTAAAGTTGTTCTTTTACTTCTAGATTTGAGTGCTGCCTTTGATACTGTCAATCACCCAAGATTAATCAAGAAGCTAAGATCTGCTTATGGCATTACAGGCATTGCTCTTACATGGATCAGGTCCTACTTGGCTAACCGTTCATTTTGTGTCAAAGTCAAGGATTCGTCTTCCTCAGCAACTGTTCTTGAGATAGGTGTGCCACAAGGTTCAATCCTTGGCCCCCTGCTATTCATATTGTACACCAAAGATCTTGAGAACATTGCAAGTATGCATGGGTGCTGTATTCATTTGTATGCTGATGACACCCAGCTGTATTTCACTCTTGATTCTGATGACCCATCACAGCTAGAGCACAATATGGAACACTGTATGTCTGATATCAAGAAATGGATGACAAACAATTTCCTTCAACTGAATTCTTCTAAGACTGAAGTCATCGTTATATCCTCTAAATTTGACTCAACAAATATTCCAGCCTCTCTACAGATTGTTAAGGATCAAGAGCCACATGTTGTTAGTGGAACTGTGAAGAGTCTTGGGCTGTATTTGGACAGTTATCTTTCAATGAGTGATCAGATTACGTCAGTGGTTCAAGCATGTAATATTCAGATCAGAAATTTGTGGTTTATTGCATCAAAACTGTCTTTTAACCTTAAGATTCAGCTTGTTCATGCTCTAGTACTCTCTAGAATTGATTATTGCAATAGCGTATATTTTGGACTGAGCTCTTATGATTTAAGTCGTTTACAGAAGGTGCAAAATTCTGCTGTAAGATTTATTTTCGGGAGAGGAAGAAAGGCACACACTACTCCACTACTTAAGAAAGTTCATTTTCTACCAGTTAGATTTAGAATAGATTTTAAGATTGCCCTACTTGCCTACAAGTGTTTAAATAATATAGCTCCTCCTTACTTAAAAGAGTTGATATCTCCTAGGCAGCAAAGTTTTAAAAATGTACGTCTTGATAATGATTATTTTTACCTTAGTTTTCCGCCCTCTCCTAACTATGTAAACACAGAGAAAGCTTTTAGTCACTGTGCAGTTAAAGTATTTAATTCCTTGCCATACGACATAAGATCAGCTGAGTCAGTTACATCTTTCAAGACCAAACTTAAAACATACTTCTTTTCTCTAGCATTTGATTGATTTTGCATTTACATAGGTAAAATGAACTTGTCATGTCTAATTTTCAATTAAACTAAGCTCAGTTAATGTAAGAGCCGCTTTAGAAAGCACTGGAGTTTATCTCCAGGATTAAATTATATCGAGTTATATGATTTAGCTATAAGGCGGTTTATAAATGTTGTAATTATTATTATTATTATTCAACCCAAAACAATACTTAATCAAAATATCTTTAATTAAACATCTCTAATCGAACAATCTTGTGAAAACTGGCCACGGGCCTAAATATTACATATCAATCAATTACAATTCATTAATATTACCAATATTAAAAACTATCGAAAATATTCAAGAAAGTATTCTCTAGCCAAAGGGCTCAATATTTAAATCTAAATCGAACAATCTTCAATCAAAACCAGCTCATATCATTGTTCACTTTAGTTTCTCAATTTTATCATCATCGACGATTCTGTCAACACTTTTTAGGAAAACTGTTGATGGATTGCAGTTGAGAGTGCAGTAACTGTTTTTGCACTCAAATCTTATGCGACGTCTCTTCTAGGCACAACGTGAACGTTCTAGGTCGAGGACATGCACAGGACACTATAATCATTTATCAGACCATTGCAGCACGCAGCGAATGTTGAAACTTTGTCATATCCAATTCAATCAATAAATTATACAGTTTTGGATAAGTGTTAATTTTTTGCAGATCAGACAGAATTTCACAACAATTGTATCGAGCATAACAATGATTACCAGACGCCTCTATTTTTCAATTTTATCAATATAGATGGTATAATCAATATAATCAATATATCAATATGTTCATTATAAGCAAGCCTCTTGATTTATAACTAAATTATTGTAACTGGTCGGCGCTCAGCCTGACATTATGCCTTAGCAAGTAAAACTAAACCACAAGTTTCAAAAGAAAAACGCGACGTACTAAACTTACACTTTGTGAATTCCCTGATGCTTCATTTTAACTGTCTGTTGGAAGTTAAAGTTTTATTTTTATTATTTAATATTAAAGAAATGTTAACGGGTGATATTGCATTCGTAAAATATATTTGTTCTAAAATATTAAACCACCCAAGCAAGACCATCAACAATCATGAACGAGTCCAATTTGGTGCGCGTGAGTTTTGATAGTCTAGTAAGTTATAAACCTACAAAGAAAATTATTTGACGGATGTTACTCGTTTAAATTTCTTCGAAGTAGAGCGCCGCTTTAATTTCTTTTAGAAATGTTATGGCCCGCACATGGAGACTAAAGTGTAAAGAAACTGCTGCTGACTGCTACTGACATAACTGCTGCTAACTGCTGCATGTGCAAATAGCGCGCGCGCGACAGCAGCAGTTAGCAGCAGTTAGCAACAGTCAGCAGCAGTTTGCAGCAGTTAGCAGCAGTTAACAGCTAGCAGTTTGCAGCAGTTTGCAGCAGTTAGCAGCAGTTAACAGCTAGCAGTTAGCAGCAGTTAGCAGCAGTCAACAGCAGTCAACAGCAGTTAGCAGCAGTGAGCAGTGCAGTGAGCAGCAGTTAGCAGCAGTTTCACCTAACCATGTGCTTTCGCGCCACTTCGGGCGCGCTTGTTTCACAAGTCAAGAAAAGCACCAATCCACGAACCCCGATGGGAAGGTTCGTACGCGCGCGTACAGTGCTGACAACAGTGTCTATTTAGCGCAGGTAGTCTTGGCACTTCTCCCTCCAGTATGCAGTAACCACTTTTCAGGTTTCTATAGTGCATAGACGCATAGTGACAGTGTATAGGGGTTAATTAGGTATAAACTACAGTACCGCTGTACTTACACCTACATTCACAAGCATGTAAGCTCACCTGGTCCAATGAGCGGGAAACGGAGGACAAGGTCTGGTGAAGTCATAGTCACGTGACCTCATAGGCTCATAATTACGTGACCTCAAACCCAATCAATGATCAATTAGGTTCGGGCATGGTCAGCCCCCTGTCACCCGATCTTTAGGTGACGTATAACGACACCTCGTTTACGCAATCAATGTCTGAAAGGCTACACACGTTGCATATGAGGACAAAAGCGCGGGAAATTTTGGCACCCTATATAAGTGGTGCCAAAATCGTTGGGTGGGTTGGTGGCTAGAGCATAGAGCCCTTTTTACCGCCGTGAGGCGGGCGCGCGCTACTGCAAGCGCAAGGGCTCTGGATAGAGCAAAGCAGCAGTCAACAGCAGTTAGCAGCAGTTAGCAGCACTATAGTCCTCCTGTGGCGAGCCTATTGGCATTACATGTCGATTTATATTTCACTTGTTTGTTTCTTTATTTGATAATTTTACTGTATAATTTGTACCAGTATTTTTCAATTCTTAATTTCGACAAAAAATGACAGGGGTATCATTGTTCCGATGTAAATTAACATACAGAAAAAAACAATAGCGTCCAATATTTGTAAACGAATAGATGTAATTATATTGCCAGATGCAGGTATGAAAATGATTAAAGAACAAACCGATTTAGTTAAAAAGAGGTATAACTATACTTATAGCACATCACAAGCTCAAGATATGAATTTCTCAATTCTCATATCACCAATTTCAGACCTCGTTATAACGCGGTTTTTGTCTAAATTCTGTCTTCCCTTGACGCGCGTTATAACGAGGTACAACTACAACGACTGTATAAGTATTACTAAATATCAGACTTCAACAATATTGAAAGACTAAAATATTGATAACACAAGATAAATAGATGAATCAGTGTTCTCCATCAAGCCAATGTAGATGCCGTTCTGAAATCAAAGCTGGCAAAATTTTTTCTCTGATTGGCATCAAGATAATGATGGCGAATGGGAAAAACATCTTTAGATACGCAGATCCTGCAAACGAAATCAGACAGAGACCGACTAGCTGCACAATTTGTAGGAAGGTGAAACAGTGAATGATCTTTTGAGGAACTTTCCTAACATAATGGATGGGAGGATACAAACTCTGCTCAGTGAAGATCAGGACAAGTCTCTCCCACAGTTGGAACTCTCCAAGAGAAGTGACCGCCAGGAAAACAAACTGTCCGTATAATACAGGTATAGGGATCAGGTTCAAGGGGTAAGGAATCATCAGGACGCAAGCGCCGATCATGATATTGGATATCAGGGTAGTGAGTCGGGTTTCTCGTACGTAGACAATGTTCTCAGTGAGATTTCCGTTGTCGATGTGCTCCTCGATGTCAGCCAGAGCTCTTACGTGAAGAGGTGAGTGAGGCAACGAGCCATGAACAAAGGGGAGACCAAATATGCTCATGATGGCGTTTATGAGCCCAATAACAACCATATCTTGGTGATATGCCCTACCTTTCTTTAACTTGTTAGCCGGGTTGTTCACAACACTAGCGGCTATATTCACTTCCATGAAAAATAGGATTGACATGAGGAAACCTAAGCCGATTGCTGAAAGCACAGCTCCTGCTGAAGGGCTCTCGAACGTTACCACCTTGAACAGGGGCCTGTCTTCATTCACGTGGAACTGGTCCAATTCAATGTGTCGAAACACGTAACTTCCTAGTACGGTGCCAGCAGCAACAGCCACAACCAAAGCGTAGTCAGCAACGATTACCCTTTTGTCTGCATTGAGAAAGGGGCTGTATTTGAAGTTGAAGATCACGACTCCCACATAAACTGTGACTAGCACAAGAAGCAGAGACAAAATGGGTTTTGTTTGATCACAATCAGCCGCTTCAGCTATATCACTTGCTCTTTTTACAGCATTCATGGTCGCATTAACGGATAGATCACACGAATAGTAGTAGAGGTCAAATTCTTTCACAATGTACTTGACCGAATCGACGATAAAAGCGATGGAGATGAACAACCCGAATATCTCCTCCGTAGATCGGGAACAGTAGGCCATGACCTTACTTATACCACTGATACCGTAGATAACCAAGAAGACCGCGTTAGTAAGACCCACCATGGCGTAGAAAGTGTAAAAGAAACTGCCGTCGTCAGCCCAGTTCTTGCTGATCAGATAGATAATCTTAGTGTAGATAACCACAGGTATAGTGGTTCTAATCACCGCTAGATGTTGCCCACTGAACAAGGCCCAGAGTAACCCACCCAATGCTTGAGACACAATGACATTCTGCACATCAATCTTACCGTCCGTGTAGTGAGCATCGAGGACACCAAATGCTATGGAGGGTAGAAGTAGCGAGAAAAAGAGGAAGAGCGTAGTGGAAATTATTTTCTGTATGCTGGTACAGTCCTTCAGATCCCCGATGTAGTCGTGGACGTAGTGCTTGCTTCGTCTTTTTATATCTTGGATCAGTCCTATGACAGGTATCCCGTGCTTCTTTTTTGGGATTGTTTCATTCTCCTTGGAAATCTTGGCGGCGGCGACCCTTTCACGTTTTTGATGTTCTTTTTGCATTCTGTGGCATTCCATTTCGAATTCATGAGCAAACCGTTCGGGGCTATTTGTGTTTAACAGGTTATGCCTTAGTCTGTCGTCCGACAGTAGCGTGGCATAAGTCCTTGCAACCTCCACTCCAGATTTGGTGTGCTTAGTCTTCTTTGGGCTGAAGACTAGGCATATGAACCTAATTTCTTCGGCCCCATTTCCAAAATTGAAGGGTTGCTCCAAGACACACATTACTACCTGACTATCGGTTACTGCCTTTGTCTCGCCTACAACGACGATGAAGCTTTGTTCAGTAATAGGCCCATAGGGTGACAGGGTTATTCCTTGAACAGATTCTGGAATCAGGTAATCGGCCTCATTACTGATGACTGACTTCATGGCCATCTTAATGGCAAGATTTAGCTCAGGCTTCTCTTTACTTAACTTTATAATCATCTCCTCAACAATCTCTTCCCATTGAGTGCGGTGCATTTTGTTTTTAAACAAAACTATGGGCTGAGCTAAGAACTTCTCAATATCTTTCATAGCTCTAGCATTATTGTGATAGTTTTTGAGTTTCAAAGACTTTCTCTTTGTATGGTAGAGCTGGCTACAAGAATGGGCATTCAGGTCTCCTTCAGTTGGTGACTCTCCAAAGCTTGTGTTTTTCTTGGCAGCTGTTACTTTCCACAGAGTTGACAGCTTGTTCCAGTTTTGAGCTCCATTGAGTGCGGTCGAATATACAGGTCGTTCGGGTCTGTCCTCTTCTTGATCAGATTCATCACTGTCAGAGTCGGTGTCTACAGATGAGTTAGAGTTGGGACTGTGGTCCTTCTGTGCTTTCTTAGCTCCTGTTGTTTCAGCTACACCTTCTTCAGCATCTGAAATACATAGTGCAGTGATATTGTGATTTTAGCTCTTAGCTGTCTGGGCATTTGCAGTGTTAATCAACAATAATACATTGCTGGCACGTTAAAAAGAAATATTTATTGATATGTGTACGGGATAAATTACTGCAAGACTTTCTTAATACTTTAATAATATAATATGGTTCAAAATCATTGTTACATCATATAATATTTTCATAAACTCTTAACTCATACATCATAGAACCAAACCTAATCGAATAGTCGGTTGGGTAATGGAATGTTCATGGTGAGTTTTAGAAAGTTAAAAGAAATTGCATAACAAAAATCGCGGCCATGATGAGTTATACTTTCTTTAGGTTTAATAGTATAATACGTGAGTAATAACTTACCAACAACAATTTCATCAGAAAAATTTATTTGCTTGTTGGACATTGTGATAATAAGATACAAAAGACTCAAAGACGGTCAAGCAAAACTGCAAATGAGATTCTAAATATAAAAACCTTATGTTAAATAGTTTCTTTTACTAGCCGTGTTAATAATTAATATGGAGGTAGTCATTCAATACTCGTCTTGTGGAAAATGAAGTGGCTTTGCTTGCCGAAAACTGGCGCCTGCATAGCAAGCAATTTATATGAAAGTGTGGTCATAACGATTATATCGGTAGTACAGCGGTCAATTTAATTTATTATCGGGGGTTTAAGTATCTTCCACAACAGATTCCCCAAGCTAGTATAGGAGTGCCGCTTTATGATAATATTTCCTCGTTATTGAAATACGCTATTAGCATGTTATTTAGCATGTTATTTAATTTAGATCATTTTAGGAATCACGAGATATACTGCATGCAAAGTAAGTGGTTTCCTATATTTTTATATTGTCTACCGTAACCTGAGATTTGACGAGGATGATTTACAAGATTAAAAGTTTCAGGGTTAACTTTAGAGTGATATTACCATATTTTGGTATCACGTGATACTACTTTATTTGGTTATCACGTGATCTGGGTAACAGAGACACTTACCCAAAGTTATAGTGGTATCGGTCGAACTAGCAGGAGAGGGACCACCGCCAAGTGACTGTACTGCATTCGAGTCCATCTGTTGAACTAATTGTTACGAACACCGAGAAGAAAATCCTACAACGAGAAAAACATCAAGTTTAAGATTTTGACCATGTGATTGCCATCGTCGGATCGCTGCGATTTCAAGCTATGTTGGCAAGCTCGTTACGGTCAAACATAAAATATTAGTTTAAAGACCTATATAATATTCTAAAGAAATAGAGTGCATGACAAAATAGCCAATTTCTCTAAGTCAATTCTAACTTAGTTAGCACTTCAATATGGGACTTTAGTATTTGAATATTACAACTTCTGATTATCTTTCACAATATCATCCACACTTTGGAACTACACTAAAACACTAAGTGCTCATATCTTTGTAAGTTTGTACATAGCAAACTCATTTGCAACACAATTTTAAAGCTATTGCGCTTTAACTGTTACGATGCTCGTACTTGGATACGCTTTATAAGGCGAGCGCTTCCATTAGAAACTTTTACAATCAAGCACTTCATTAAACCCGGACATCTCTTAGATCTTTTGTTATGAATAGTTTTCTCGGTTGCGGCCCTCTGATTCGTTACTTGACCGACAGGTTTTAACTTGTTGTAACAGTGTATACAGTTATAAAAATAGTTTCTGTTATCTACTCAGTTACATAAGTAACTCATGTTTGCAGCTCCTGTAACTACCTTTGAAAATCGTATGATTGACAAAATTACAAATTTAGAAGACCAATGTTAAAATTTGGTTTAAAGAATTACATACATTATTCCACTGAAATATAGCAGTGTTCATTTATCACCGGCAGTGAGAGTCAATTTTATTATTTATTACTAATCAATCAACGCAATCAAGGAATTTATATTAAAAACATCAAAAGAGTTTTGTTTCATTGAAAAGAACTATCGTATCTTCAAAAAGTCTGTTCCGTTAGTTGTTTCGTAATGGTAATGGTAATTAATGTAGAAATAGATATTATAATTAAAACTAAGAAACGGCAAAAAGATTATGATTCAAATCATCCAAAACGTGTCCTTCTTTTTTGATGATTTTCCGTTTATCAAAGCTTTCTTCGGTAATTTAGCTTCCACTACCTCAACAGTGTCTTGTAGTTGCACCATTAACACTCCACAGGCAACTACGCCGAGCTTTAATTCATGCAGCTGGAACCAGACACAATTGGGCGGAGGACACGAGGGCGCGGTACCAAACACTGTTCTGAATGATGAACTAGTAATAAAATTGCAATATCACACAATTCCATTTTAACTTGGTTTATAAGCGTCAACCTAATTTTAATTTTATACACATTAAAAATTAATTAATATATTTTTGCTGTTGCCATATAATAGCTATATTCAATCATTTAATTTCATCTGATAAGACTTTACTGGTTAAACAGAAGATTGAACGGATTTTTGATGTCAGGTTGAGGTAAAGCGTAGCTGGAAGAATTGAATATTCATTTACGTTCATGTCTAAAATTTGGAACAAAACATATTCCTGATGTGACAAATAATCACCAATTTTGAACGAGCCAGAGATTTTTTCTTTACTTTTATTTTTTCCTTTTACTTAAATACCTCAGCTAACTCAGCAGCATATTTTGGGGTTTGTTAACGTGCTTAGACCAATAAAATAATAAAACACTGCCTAGATTTGACGGATGTTACTCGTCTAAGTTTCTTCGAAGTAGCGCGCGCCGCTTTCTTCTCGAAACGTTATGGCAAGAGCTACGAAGTAGCGCGCGCCGGGCCAGATCATTAACAATGGTCAATGCCTAGATGTGTCAAATCTGGTCTTCTGAATATTGCAATGGCTGACGCTACAGTTACTCAAGTTTCCGTTTAGATCAGGTGTATAGAACGAGCCGAGTTAAGTAACAAGTGGAACGCCAATTAGTAGAACGCTACCGGCTACTGCAGTTACCCAGGTTAAGATCAGGTGTATAGAAGTAGAAGTAGAACGAGTCATCAGAATGCGTATTTACTTTGGGATGACGAATTCTACTGAGGTGACCGTTGGTTTTTGTTTTGTCAACTGTTGATTTGAGCCTGGGGTATTGTATTTTAGAGAAATTTAGACGCGTATCATTCATAATTTAGAGCTTTCCAATGGGGGAGAATAAGAACCAATTATAAGAGAGCTAATCATCTGGTAGCTATTTGCTAACCATGGTAATTATACATCAAAAAAAGTGGTGAAACGGTAAACAAAGAAATCGGAGAAATGATCTTGAATACAGCAACATGATACAGCCACCGGGTTTGTTCTTGATCTTCATTGTAGCGGTGTACCTCCACCTACCCACTTGTGGTTTTTAATTTATACATTGTAACTGTATCGTTGTTGCTAAAAGTTTAGCTCCCAGATTTTACAGTTGTGGTATGATTGGAGCAGTAGATAGGCATTGATCAGAACTTTTAATATGTTTGGCTCTTGTTTGGCTCTTGTTTGGCTCTTGTTTGGCTCTTGTTTGGCTCTTGTTTGGCTCTTGTTCGGCTCTTGTTTGGCTCTTGTTTGTCTCTGCTTTGTTCTTGCAGATACTCTGATCTTCATGTTGTAGCGTACAGTTTCTGTAACGTCATTCACGACAATATACACATGATTATAAGTACAAAAAGTATAATTTAATGTACGTCGGAGCAGAATGCTTTTACTTACTCGTTTTTTGAATTTCCACGCGATTTTGAATCTTTTCAAAACCAAAAGCTGGTATTTTCCTTGTTTAAGTGTATTTGAAAAACGTAACTTTAAACAATCCCAGGCCGGCCGGCACTATAACTTCTAAATAAAGTTGTAAATGATTTTAAGGATCATATTTTTTAATATTTTGATAATCATTAAAAATTAAATATTATATATATATGTACTTACATAGTGCGGAGTTCTGTTAAACTATTTCTCGTTCATTAAAAGATGAAACAACGAGAAAACAAGAAAATGCGCCGCAAAATCTGGTATTTTCCTTTTGTAACTGTAAGTGTATTTGAAAAACGTAACTTTAAACGATGTGGAGAAAATAATTGATTGACTAAATAGTAAGTAACTTTATATACTGTTTTATAGAAATTAGGTTGATTAGACATATAACTATATAGCACTGCGGCGAACATACAGATCAGTGAGACACACACATTACACACGATCACGTGTCATATGTGTACATCCTTGCAGATTAAATAATAATTATAAATACAATGAATATAATTAACGTAATACTCAAGGAGCCTGGTTTATTGATACAAAGGTAAAAAGGTAAATAGCAATTTCAATGATGAGAACACTGCGAAACATACTTTTGCTCTTAATGAGTTACTTTTAAGCTTATTATTACTAATACTATGTGCGGTTTAGTTTAACCTCGTTTATCCATTGTAAATGAATTCAAGATTTTAGATTATAGTTATATTATAGTATTATGCTGTATCTCATCTACAATTATAAACAATTGCAATCACTATGATTGAAAACAATATGGATTACATTTATAATGTATTTTCTATTTCACTGGATAAAATTACGGTTCGTGTTTTTGTGCTTCGTAATTTACACATTTTTCACGGGATCAGTCACGGTCAGTAGAAAAAGGTGGAAGTTCCACTTTTAGTTCCACTTTTAGTTCCACCTTGTGTCATGTTAATTTTGTACGACATTTCTTACATAAGATGTATAATACTGGAGTACTTGATTCTCGAGATATTGAAATTTGATAGAGCAGCATTTTTTAAACACCTATATAAAAATTACGCCCATCAGAGTCATGGTCAGAACAGTTTTATCATGTTGTTTTTTTATCAGCTAATATTTGCCACTCCCTCTCAACCCTTCCAACTTAAACACACATTACATAAATAAATACAAGTATAAGTAAGGTTGTAAGTACGAAGTAATGAACGCTTATCTCCAGTACAAATACAAGCTAATTTGTCCGTGACGTGCTTATGATAATAGTAAATAAGTAAATACTAACTATTAACCATAATCATAGACCACATAATATGCTGACGTCAACCACTTAACCATTGATCACTAAACACTAAACAAGGCAACTGTACTCACTATTCACTATTCATGCATATTTGGCTGCATTTTCTGCAGCATTTTCTGCATATTTTGGCCTCAAATCTGTTTTGCAAACATTGCCAAATTATAATTGCCGTGTTTATTATTTCATATACGAATTTAAATACGATCAATCGGGTTTTCGTCATAAAACTTCTGATCCAAGAGGTGCTGAGTTGTTTCAGGATTTCTATAATGTCCTAATGCCAATGGAACGGCACAAGACCAAAATTTTGAAATTTGGTGCATTTTAACCGTGTTAAATTGGCAAAAAACTGTAATTACTTCCTAAGCTGCCACAAGACAGCTTACCAAACTGCTAATAGGTAACGCCACGTGACGATAAAATTTAATATATTTTCTAGCAATGTATTTCAATGTCAAAGAAAACGTTAGCGTTCTAGAAGAATTAGTTCTCACCTCGCCAACACTTTTAAAACACTAACTTATACTAAGCCTTAAATAAAATCCAGTCCTTCTCGCTGGATAAAAACGGTCACATGATAACTGATCACTGACTGTACCTCGTGGCCCGATGACCACAAACTGGTGCAGTACATGACACGTTTCGTACGTCACTTTTAAAATAAAATGAAACTTTATATTAATACTCTCACGTAAGCTTTTATATTTTCTATGACTATTATAGTTATATTATTTCCAGAACTTACACATCCCTTGTTTTGCGTGCTTGTTTGCCAACTTTATCCCATGTTTTTGCCTGGCTGTTTGCCAAATTTATGAAATTACCGTGTTTAGTTCACACTGTTTGAAGAGTGTGAAGATAATTGGCAGTTGTGCGACAGGTAATGTTATGTGTGACAGGTAATGTTATGTGTCATCCACTTTATCTTTGTATATACTGTACAGTGTATGGTGGTTAATTATGACTTCCACAATCTGTGATTCATATCATATAAAGATATAATCACCTTCGGGGTGCAGGTTGCATATCTAGGTTTTTTCTATTATGTCGAGGGGAAAAGGTGCATGGGACCACGACCTACTCCACGATGGCAACTGATATAATACAATACAATATTATATGATCTCTATTATTATTAAGCTTGCAATTATCTAATTAAGATTCACGTATACTGTAAAGTTTAACCTTGTTTATTTATGATTATCAACACTTTATGAAGATAATTGGTATACACTATACACTATACACTATACAATATTAAATGGTGATTGGCGTGCCAGGTCGTGTTATTATACCATTATTATAGCTGCTCTCATGTCTGTTCGTCCATGATCAGGTGATTAATTAACTTAATTTGGGGATTTTCTTTTATTTTACTGATTTTCTTTTATTTTACTGACCATTTCATTACACTCCTTTTGTTATTTACAGCCGGATGTTACTTGTTGTGATTTGTATTTCACAATTCAGCTAATTGTTTTTAAATGATGTTAATTGTTTAACTCATGTTATTGTATATTATGATCTTAGTGTGTATTATAAGTGTATATGTTCGGACGTAAATTAATATTTATGTCATTATCTTTATTAAACTCACAATATTCATGATTAATTTAACCTTGTTATGGTGTGAAGATAATTGGTAACTTGGAAATCACGTGAGGGGCTGCTATATCTTATTATCATTATATTATTAGTGTGTTTGTAGGTTGTGTGTTTGTAGGTTGTGTGTTTGTAGGTTGTGTGTTTGTAGGTTGTGTGTTTGTAGGTTGTGTGTTTGTAGGTTGTGTGTTTGTAGGTTGTGTGTTTGTAGGTTGTGTGTTTGTAGGTTGTGTGTTTGTAGGTTGTGTGTTTGTAGGTTGTGTGTTTGTAGGTTGTGTGTTTGTAGGTTGTGTGTTTGTAGGTTGTGTGTTTGTAGGTTGTGTGTTTGTAGGTTGTGTGTTTGTAGGTTGCGTGTTTGTAGGTTGTTAGTTGCTCACGCGACCCAGTGACTCACATGCATTGTATAATAACGTATATATTTCCAAATCACGTGTATCATCGCAGTAATACTATACTACTAGTATTACGTACTGGTAATGTGAAGTGTATCAGATTATCAAGCTTAGTAACGTTACAGTTTCTCATTAAGTTATCTGTTATCTGCTTGTTTTGAGATCAAGTTGCAGACGCCAGTCTTATCTAGATCAGCTGTCTTATCAGCTAATTATCGGTATATTGCAGTGTTTGGTGATGGAATAATGACTGCAGGCTAGTGACGTGTATAATTTCAGCTGTTTATATTGCCTGCTCTTTGCGAAACCTTCAGTTGAGACATAAGTGATTGTGCTCTTACAGTTACAATCATTTGGTTGTCATCTCCATTTGAAATGCCATGGTTAGGTTATGTAATGTAACTTTGCTCTTATCTCATGTTGTCTGTGTGTGACTGCTGATCTGTCATACTATAGAAAACAACACTAATTAATCAAGATAAGAGTACAGCGCGTGCAACCTAGGTTAGATAATTTACTTCAGTAGAGCGTATAGTAGTAGTACAGTGCTAGTACACTATAATTCGCTGTCCGTACTGCTGTTGTACTTATACTATACCCATTATTATACCATATGTAATTTATTGTATGATGTGCGTGTATATACATCTTATTGTATTCTCTTGTATGATTGGAGCTGCATCCTTGTAGTGGTGTATATAGTCGAGTAGTTGTGTTCTTTGATATCTTCTTTAATCTTCAGTATTCTAGATTATCTGCAAGGCTGAAACGTGTAGCAGCTTCATTGATGTGATATTGATCTTTTAAAACTTTTACTGATTTGATAGCTTGTTCGGATGCGAGTGATTAAACAGAATCATCAGACTCATCTTAATTAGAAGAGCCTAATTCGTGGTGTTTTCAATCCTAATCCTTAGGATTTAAATTAGTTTTACTATTGTTTGTACAAATTAATTATACTAATTAGTTCTACTAAGTTAATGATAATGTACAATGTACATAATGTTAGGGATAGTAATATCCTGATGCAGCCGATAACTTGTATAGTTAGTTGTATAAAGGTTGCATTGTAGACCCATTATCTGTCAACGAGGGCAGTAATCGGTTGAGAATATCGGGGCATGTTTTCATCTGAACTGCTGGCAGTTCAGGCTTTAAATTTGCTGGCAATAAAGTAGTTAGATACCAGTGTTACAGTAGTTAGTTACCATTGTTACAGTATTTAGTTACCTGCAGTGTTTCAGTAGTTAGTTACCAGTGTAAGTGATATAACTACTGACCGCAGTGCAACTTATTTTCGCATGTATTTTCTTAAATAGATTATTACGCGGTCTGTATAATAAAGTTTAGTTTTTTAGTTTTGCCTTTGGTTTGAGAAATAAGATCAGACAGTAGCTACTTGTTAATGTATTAACTATTAGAGTATAAGTATATGTACATTGTACTAAGAGCAACAACTTGCGGGTGAACATTTTATGTCTCAAATCCCGACATATTATACATCGTTGGAAAGATCTCATTGAGTAGAGTCACATGGTACCAAGTTTTAGGCAAATAGCTGCTCCTAGCGAAAGTAGCAACTTGTTAATGTATAAACTATCAGTTGTTTAGACCTAAATGTTTATCGTGTAACCAACTAACCATCCAACTCGAATCAAATCGTCGATAAATAGCGCTGACGTCAAATGTCTTAAACTAGAGTAATTTGCTGAATAAAGTAACTGCTAACAACTGAATACTCTAACTCTCTAATACTTCATTAAACTGATAGGTGTGTAGCAAACTTTCTGACATTTCAGAATATCTGGTATTAATTTCCTGGCCGAGATAAATTGGTTCTCAGTTTGGTTTATCACTTTATCTGCTGTTTAATATTATGGTTTGCTGCTCAAGTTGCTCTCAAATTCCCCAAATAAATAATGACTTTCAGCTCTTGTCACCACCCCAAGCCACCACAGATTTATATATTTTCATATCTTTACCAGCAAATACTGCATGTATTTATTTAATGATAGTAAAATGTTTATTGATATTTACTGTTTGCGAACGCCGTAATTGTAAATAATTGTTTAATTAAACGATTGTTCAATTATTTACTTTATCTAATTAAACAATTGTTTTAATCAGACTACAGTTCATATCACAATATTACACCCCAATAGGTTGAAAATATTACACCCCAATAGGTTGACAATATTACACCCCAATAGGTTGACAATATTACACCCCAATAGGCTGACAATATTACACCCCAATAGGTTGACAATATTACACCCCAATAGGCTGACAATATTACACCCCAATAGGCTGACAGTATTACACCCCAATAGGTTGACAGTATTACACCCCAATAGGTTGACAATATTACACCCCAATAGGCTGACAATATTACACCCCAATAGGTTGACAATATTACACCCCAATAGGCTGACAATATTACACCCCAAAAGGTTGACAATATTACACCCCAATAGGTTGACAATATTACACCCCAATAGGTTGACAATATTACACCCCAATAGGTTGACAATATTACACCCCAATAGGTTGACAATATTACACCCCAATAGGTTGACAATATTACACCCCAATAGGTTGACAATATTACACCCCAATAGGTTGACAATATTACACCCCAATAGGTTGACAATTATTTACTTTATTTAATTAAACAATATTGTTTTAATCAGACTACAGTTCATATAACAACGTCACACCCCAATAGGTTGACAATATTACACCCCAATAGGTTGACAATATTACACCCCAATAGGTTGACAATATTACACCCCAATAGGTTGACAATATTACACCCCAATAGGTTGACAATATTACACCCCAATAGGTTGACAATATTACACCCCAATAGGTTGACAATATTACACCCCAATAGGTTGACAATATTACACCCCAATAGGTTGACAATATTACACCCCAATAGGTTGACAATATTACACCCCAATAGGTTGACAATATTACACCCCAATAGGTTAACAATATTACACCCCAATAGGTTGACAATATTACACCCCAATAGGTTGACAATATTACACCCCAATAGGTTGACAATATTACACCCCAATAGGTTGACAATATTACACCCCAATAGTTTGACAATATTACACCCCAATAGGTTGACAATATTACACCCCAATAGGTTGACAATTATTTACTTTATTTAATTAAACAATATTGTTTTAATCAGACTACAGTTCATATAACAACGTCACACCCCAATAGGTTGACAATATTACACCCCAATAGGTTGACAATATTACACCCCAATAGGTTGACAATATTACACCCCAATAGGTTGACAATATTACACCCCAATAGGTTGACAATATTACACTTCAATAGGTTGACAATATTACACCCCAATAGGTTGACAATATTACACCCCAATAGGTTGACAATATTACACCCCAATAGGTTGACAATATTACACCCCAATAGGTTGACAATATTACAGCGAGCTCTCTGATTGTCCATGATAGAGCTGGTCATACAGCTCCTCGTCACTCTCGCCCTCCTCTTCGTCACCGTTTTCTTTACTATCCCCTACATCTTCCTACATTGTAAAGCATTCAAGTACAGGTTCCTCTTCTCTGGTGTCATCAACTACCCCAGGTTAATGATTATTAATTAATTAGTTAATGATTATTAATTTTTAATTACTTATTGATAATTAAAATTAGAGCCCAGTGATTAGGGGATCTACTTATCGTTTGCTAGTTTGTGAAATTAAAATATTTTCTTGTGTTTGATCAATGTTTTTCCTCGCATAATAATTTTGCTTTTTCTCAGCAAACAAGACAAACATCTGAGTGATCCCTCCAAGTTTGGTCTAGAAAGGACAGCTAATCATGTTCTCGAGGTAAGGAGAAACTGACTCTGATGAAAAGTGGCATTACGACATATTCCTAATTAAACATTTAAATATCAAGATTTTATAAGATTCTTGCGCATTTCTGATAACTTTCACTTTATAAAGTTATAATTACCGAGGTTATTTTAGCATGTAGGAATACGGTCGCTCGTCGCTGTGGTCCAACATAAGGGCTGCACGACATAGGGGGAAATCTACCCTATATCTAGCGGCTAGCCCATTTCTAGGTCAATTAAATTCTACTGATGGATCACATCACTAATTATGTATGTCACTAATTGTATATATAGTATATACTTATATATTAATGCTTTTCATACAACGTTACAACAAAGTCTTCATGTTATGAATCCTGAGTTTGGACAGGTTATTTATACCCGTTGAAAATATTTCCATCACGTTACATGATTCTCAATAACTGAGTAGATTTGTAGTGTTGCAATTAGTTGAAAACTAATTATTAATTATTTGACCCTTTTTATGACGACCAGATTTATTCGGCTATATAAATACAAATAATGGAATTGATTAACTTGAGAAGTCCCGCCGTGAATGGGTAATTGTAATTAGTTTAAAACTGATATTTGCAGGTAGTAGACGAGGGGAGAAGTAGCAGAAAGCCAGGTAGATTGGGTTTATGGGTAGTGGAGCCGCTAGATGAGGCAGCTCGGCAGCAGGTTCTGATACTTTACTGTCATGGTGCTTCCAGCAACAGAGGTATATTAGTTTTCATTCAATTGGTTGATGTGCTTATATTTATACTCTTGATTATATTAGACAACGACAAAAAACAAGGCCCTTCGTCAAAAATTGTCCTTGAAAATATCGGCAACCTTACATCATCTTTCAATAAGAAGGAACATAAACATTGAATCATTTCAGGAAAGCCGCACCGAATAGAGTTCTACAAAGTATTCCAATCACTCGGCTACACAGTAGTAACATTTGACTACCGAGGGTTCGGGGACTCTAGAGGTTGTCGTGCTTCAGACGCTACAGTAGAAGCAGACTGTCGGCGAGTGTTGGAGTGGGCTGTCTCTCAGTTCCCTGACTATCAAGTCGTGGTTTGGGGTCACTCTCTTGGCAGTGGCATTTCCACAAAGTTCGTGCACGGTATACAGTCTGATAAGCTGGAATCCCTTCAGAAAGTTCGGGGTTTAATACTGGAATCTGCGTTTATAAGCGCTGAGGAAGCAGCTAAAAACTTCCCCGCTGCTAAATACTGGAACTACTTTAAGATTACCCGCGGTAGAATCCCCAAATCTATGGAGGGAATCTTTCCCACTGTCCGCCTCCTCCCTCAACTCCAACTACCTGTCTTTCTGGTACATGCAGTAGACGATAAGACCATTCCTCACCAGCATTCAGTAGTGCTGAGAAACACGTGCTCTGGGAATGGCAAACTTGATGTGCAGCTTCATTCTGCTGCTTCTGGTGAGCATAGGTTTGTGCATCAAGACAATGAGGCTATACTGGCTGCTCATCAGTTCATTCAGAAAATTAACATAACTTTTTGAGAGATCACAGAGTGGAACAGTTTTGTTGTGAATATTATTATTTGGATTGTTAAACAGACAATGTTTTGATGCTTATGATTACATTTTATTTTTAATTAAATTTTGCCAAAAATGACCAGTATAATAAATGGCTGATTTTAGTCGAATTCTACAGATGTGAATTAATTTTAATGCGTAGATGACGAATTATTTTGATTAGCAATGCCACAAAAATTAAATAAGGTATTATATCATTACTTAACAGTTAAGTTTACAGCTACAATATAACTATAGCTGATAATATTACAAAAGAAAAGAACCTAATTGGGACCCTTTCTATTATTATTCGTAATTACTATCCCTGTTTATAAATATTTATACTTATTTCAAAAAGAAAAACATTTGTTTTGTTCGCAAAGTGTACTCCGTTTTTGGGTCCTTCGTTTTAACAAAGAGATATTTCAGTTGAAACTTGCATTTCTTAAATTCAATAAATGAATTATGACCGACTAAAACGCTGGAATTGAACCAGTGTAGTTCCACTTCAGTTGGTGGGGGGGAAGGGGGGGGGGTTCCACTTCAGTTGGGGGTTCTACTTCAGTTGAAGGGGGGGGGGGGTTCCACTTCAGTTCGGGGGGGGGGGGGGGTTCTACGAGTCCCCTTTACTTTTAGCCCCCTTTTACTTAACTTCTCATGTAAGACTAAGTCAAATTTGGTTAATTTTATATTATTTACTATTATATAAATTGGACCAAAACCTACAATCATGGGTAGAGTGGACCGCTGCCAGTGTCTCTGATTTTTTCCAAACAAAAGGAAATGATATTAATTTGAAGAACCGGTTGCAAATGCAAATTGATACCGATAATGAAATCGGTAGCTCGAGCTTTTCTCATTCAATAGTATAAGCTTTATTACAATTCGTAAGCCGTGAATGAATGGGAAAAGCGTTACATATTTGCAAGTCAAAACAAACACATCGTATTAAGGGATATATTAGTATAGTTGTATATAGGTAAGAAAAGAGAAAGAGAAAGAGAAAGAGAAAGGGAAAGAGAAAGAGAAAGAGAAAGAGAAAAAGAAAGAGAAAGAGAAAGAGAAAGAGAAAGAGAAAAAGAAAGAGAAAGAGAAAGAGAAAGAGAAAGAGAAATAGCGTCTTGTTTACACCGAATACTCCAACATGCGAAAATCTAGAGTTACTACAGTAACCATATTAATTAATACCAGCTATAGCTTATAATCTAGCACTTCAAACTTCGCGCTCTAAACAATATTTAAACACACATAACCCCGGCATGCGCAGGGATTATATTTCAATTTTTCCCGCGACGCGCGGGAAAAATTTATAATAATTTCGAGTGCGAAGCACGAGGGATTATTATGAAAATAACCCCGACGTGCTTTAGCACGAGGGGTCATTTTAATATAACTTAAGCGTGCCGGTGTTATGTGTTATAAACCCCTCCGGGTTAGTGCTAGGACCAACAAATTTGACATTTTACTCTTAATTCTAGCCATATGAGATCAGTATGGAAAATATGAAATGGAATTGGGGACTACCAAATTGAAATAAATACAACTAAGGTACTATGACATTTGAAATTGGCGTTATATCTAAACATTATTCCTCAGTCAGAAGTACGTTGAATGAATATGAATATCGACATAAAGGGGCGTCGAGTTAAGCCTGGCAAGCGATAAAAGGTGTAGCTAATAATGATATCGTGTCATGAAGTTCATCAAAGTAGACGACTATAATACATGGCTTATATCAAACACGACAAAATTAACCGGACAAAATCAAATGTAACCGTCGAGACAAGTTCTGGAACTGGTCCTATTAATGTAAGAGTTTAAGTAATGTAAGCAGTGTGCTGGAGTTTTGCCAGCGCCTGCAATTAGACCGATACGTAGATCAAGTGTATTTATAGTTCTTACGTTAAGCCATAGGTCACGTGACATTTTTTACCAATGCGCGTCGTAGTAGTTAGTCACGTGATACACGTCATCAAAACACGTGACAGTGCGCAGTTGAAATTCTCATGGAATATCAAAACAAAACAAATCTTGTTGAGCCAAATTAGCGGGGCGGGATTATAGAAGTTGTGCCGGGGTTATTTATTCAGCGGGAAAAAACTAACAGCGGGAGGCGGGATTATCAGAATCTATTTAGCGGGAGCCGGGATTATCATAATCTTATTCTATCCCGGAGGGGTTTATAATGTAGTAATCTGAAATATGTATTATAATATGGGCTACCGGGATTCGGCTCTGAACTTTACTTAAACTTATCACCTTATTGACGATCGAATGACTCTCATTTTAACTTGACAAGACAACAAATTTACAAAATAAAAGTAGTTAAGTCTTTAAGTGTTTGTATCAAGAGAAAAAGCTGCAACTTGCACAATAATTGGAATACAGTGAACTTTAACCTGTACTCCTCCGAGAATACTGCTATAAAGGGACGGAATAGAAAATAAGGGGCGGCGTTATGTGTGTTATAATTAAGTAATTAGCATTGCACTAACGCAGATAAGAAACAGCTCTATCGACACACACACATTCCGCGTACACATTTTACAGTGTTAATGTTATAAGTCAGTTTGAGTGCGTGCACACTCGGCGGTTATATAGCGCGCTATCTTATTGGCCACCAAACAACACGTACGTGAGAACTGAGAAGCTCTGCTATTGGCTGGATCGACAACTGCTCAGGGTTACCATGGTTACCGTGTCATGGACTACTCGAACACGTGCGCGTGTGCCGTGTATGTGAATTGTGATATTGGTACCTTTTTACCGTTCTGCTGACTAGACTTTATTAAGGTGCACTTTCTGCTCGCTTATCACGTTCTGCAACATAACTTCCTTTATATTTCGTTATTTTACCTCTTTATACTTAATTAGTTAATTTGACTTAATGCTACTGGTAAAATCGAGTTTCTACATCAGTTACCTATATCAACTGCATTGTTAAATATTTGAATTACCTTTATCAATGATTGGGCGACATATATGTCCGACAGCATGAACCCCGACAGAACCCTCAGGGTCGTACTCTATACGACGCAGTTTCCTGACCCGCGGGAATATAATCGTGAGCACATTTACTGTACACTTAATCTTCTACAAGATAAAATATCATAACAAAAGATAAGCCTAGGACGCGGTTCGCCCTGTAGCGTGTGATTGGTCGGCCTAGCTCGTCACGTGACAGGGAGGAACATCACTTGATTGGTCAGTTTATCAAGTGTTAGCTCGGTGAGCGCCTGCTGTTTCTTTTTGTAGCCTAGTCTCATTTCTGTTTTTATCCCCTGATAATGGGCGGTCGCTTTTTGTTCCGTTTAATATCATCTGCGCTTTAAACTTTGATTTAATTTATTTTATCCCGTTCAAGCGTGTAATCAAAATCATCAAGCTTCCAACTATCACGTTACCTTGGTGACCGAGGCGTCTGCCTGTTCTGCCTATAATACCACTTGCGTTCTCTTCCGTTTAATATCGTCTGTGCTTTAAACTCGGATTTAATTTATTTAATCCTGTTTATAATGTGTGTAATCAAAATTATCACGCTTCCAACAATGAACTATCACGATTCACGAATTACCTTGGTGACCGAGGCGTCTGCCTGTTCTGCCTATACCACTTGTGTTTTCTTCCGTTTAATATCGTCTGTGCTTTAAACTCGGATTTAATTTATTTTATCCCATCCATTTATAGAAAAAAAATTGGATGTCTGCTATTTTTTGCCTTTTTGCCTTTTATTTTTCTAAATTATGTCTTGCAGGATCATGTTATCCAAGTCGTCAAGCCTTCAGCTGAGGAACTGTCTCCACTGCAGCGTACCTACTCAACTGCCATCATAATAAAGTAAGGTTTTGTAAGTTTCACTGTGCTGATTGGACAACATCTGTCCGACAGCAACATCTGTCCGACTCAGAAAATAGATTATTCGAACAATAGTTTAGGTCGGATCCTACCGTACGATTTTCTTGAAACTTTTCATAAAGTATGCAGGTGGTTATAGGACGGATAATCTATGTAAGTTTTTATACCTTGGTAATGAGCGGTTGCTTTCTGTTCCGTTTATCATCGTCTGTGCTTTAAACTCGGATTTGATTTATTGTATCCCATCCGTCTATAGAACTATAGAAAAACAAAATGGATGTCTGCTATTTCATGCCTTTTCCCCTTTTATTTTGCTAAATTATGTTTTGCAGGATCATGTCATCCAAGTCGTCAAGCCTCCAGCTGAAGATCTGTCTTTACTGCAGCAGACAGACAAGTGATATCACATCGTAAAAAGGTAAGGTTTGTGAGTTTATAGGTTTTACTGTCCCGCCCTGTCCCGTCAAGTCCTGTGTTGTCCCGTCCCGTCCCGTACCGTCATGTCCTGTCCTGTGCTATCCAGTGGTGTGGTGTGGTGTGGTGTGGTGTGGTGTGGCGTGGTGTGGTGTGGTGTGGTGTGGTGTGGTGTGGTGTGGTGTGGTGTGGTGTGGTGTGGTGTGGTGTGGTGTGGTGTGGTGTGGTGTGGTGTGGTGTGATTGCCCCGACGCCCCGACCTTTAATTTTTTCTTCATCGCATCGTAAAAAGGTAAGGTTTGTTTGTTTACTAGCTGTGTTTATTTTAAGTTTTACTGTCCCGTCCTGTCCTGTCATGTGGTGTGGTGTGGTGTGGTGTGGTGTGGTGTGGTGTGGTGTGGTGTGGTATGGTGTGGTGTGGTGTGGTGTGGGTGTGGTGTGGTGTGGTGTGGTGTGGTGTGGTGTGGTGTGGTGTGGTGTGGTGTGGTGTGGTGTGGTGTGGTGTACGTGTGGTGTGGTGTGGTATAGTGTGATTTTTATATCAATCAATTTTCATATAACCAATTTTAATTGACACGTTTCGCCAACCTATATCCATTTATTCACATTTTTAACTCAGGTTAAATCTACGCTCAACGTCCCAAGTGTTGAGTCATTTGATAGATTATGTCATTTTCCCTACATCATTCAGTACAAATTTCCTTTTTTATCTACAATTCATTCATACGTAAAAACTTCAATTTGAACAAAAAACAAATCTATCAAATGAGACGGTGAGGGACCTGTACGAAATGATTCAGATGTGTAATGTATGTATTTTTAGAAGCTAAAGTTGTTGGATCGTGTGCAAAGTTTCAGGGTGATAATTCTTAGACTCGATGTTCAGTACATTCTACTGAAAACCATTTTCGCAATACTTAATACGATTACTCATCACTCATAAACGCTGACCTTTAGCTTTGACCACTGACAAGCTTTCCCCCTGTGACCACGGGCCCCCTAGTCATCGTAATAAAGTAAGGTTACTGTCCCATGGTGTGGTGTTTGACACCAGAGAATACTAATTCACAACTTTTGTGTTTTTATAAAATTATTCTTAAAAAAAGCA